TGTTTGCTGATCCCTAATCTAAAGCAATGCTACTCAAAGTGTGCTCTGAGGCCTGGTCTGAGACCTCTTTGTTATCAGCCTGCAATGAGATAAGGGGCTTGTGCCAGAATCCCTAAGCACACGGTTTTAGTTGAGTTGACATTGTTTTCATGGCAAGACTTTACTTTTTTTTTTTTTTAACTTAAAAAATTTTAAATATAGAGACAGGGTGTCACTATGTTGCCCATGCTGGTCTTGAACTCCTGGGCTTAAGTAATCCTCCCGCCTCTGCCTCCCAAAGTGCTGGGATTACAGGCATGACCCATTGTGCCTGACCAACACTTTCTTTTCTTTCTTTTTTTCTGAGACAGGGTCTCACTCTGTTGTCCAGGCTGCTGGAGAGCCATAGCATGATTACAGCTCACTGCAACCTCTGCCTCCTGGGTTCAAGCACTTCTGTCTCAGCCTCCCAAATAGCTGGGGATTACAAGCGTGTGCTACCACACCCGACTAATTTTTGTATTTTTAGTAGAGACAGGGTTTTAACCATGTTGGCCAGGCTGGTCTTGAACTCCTGACTTCAAATGATCCACCTGCCTCGGCCTCCCAAAGTGCTGGGATTACAGGTGTGAGCCACTGCGCCCACCAGAATCTAGCAAATTTTAAAATTTGTCATTTCCTTTTACCTACGCATATTGCAGCCAAAATCCTACCAGTACTCCAAAGCACCATCCACAAACTTTCATTGCATTTGGATGCAATTGTCTTTTGAAGACACAAGGCAAGAGATGTGGAGAAGCATTTCCCTGAGGCCTGAATAGCATTAGTCCCAAGAGTGGATGTTTAGGGTTACCAGTCATGCTGTATTGGTGCCAAGCACTGGATCCTAAGTGACAGAGATGCTCTGGGCTTCATCAGTAAATGCACATGTCTGTGACATGCAAGGTACTCTAGAGCACAAGGTCAAGGTAGGGGCTCTTCTTGCTTGGATCTAAGAGGATTCATATGGGACTGTGTTGGGATGGGACAGTACAATGTTGTTTTCCTATATAACTATGCTTGTTTATCTTATTTTTTCCTTCCAATCAAAGGCTGCCTATATTTATCCTTTATTTTTTTACTAGAGATGGGGTCTTGCTATGTTGCTCAGGCTGGCCTCAAACTCCTGAGGCTCAAGCAATTTTCCTGCCATGGCTTCCCAAAGTGCTGGGATTACAGGTGTGAACCACCATGCCTGGCCTATAGCTATGTTAGTATACAAAAAACTATAGCAATATAATCTTTATGACATACCATGAATGAGGTATGTGCTCAGTTCTGTTTTGAGAGAATAAAAAATGACTGCTAGTCTCTATCCATACTTCAGAAATGCCAAATTAAACAAAGTTAAAGAGATTTCCTTACCTCAGGTCTTCTCAGAGCCTTTACTACACTAATGTGAACTGCAACCTGCTAAGAAGGAGACATAGCGGTATTTTTCAAAATTATTTGAGCACCAAAATCAATTTTGCTGTAAGTCCATTTTTCAGGAATTTTTAATAATATCTCACAGAACACATTTTTAATGATCCTGAACTACCCTAGGCCACATTCAGGAAGAAAAAGTCTACAGGTAAACAGAAACTGTGAAGGCAGGGCTGGAGGGGTCATAGAATCTGCTGTTGGCAACAGGCCCCCAAAATTGGCCATAAACTGGCCCAAAAACTGGCCATAAACAAAATCTCTGCAGCACTGTGTGACATGTTTGTGATGGTCATGATGCCCACGCTGAAGGTTGTGGGTTTACTGGAATGAGGGCAAGTAACACCTGGCCCACCCAGGGTGGAAAACCTATTAAGGCGTTCCTAAGCCACAAACAATAGCATGAGTGATCTGTGCCTTAAGGACATGTTCCTGCTGCAGATAACTAGCCAGAGACCATCCCTTTGTTTCAGCCCGTCCCTTTGTTTCCCATAAGGAATACTTTTAGTTAATCTATAGAAACAATGCTTATCACTGACTTGCTGTCAATAAATATGTGGGTCAAACTCTGTTTGGGGCTGTCAGCTCTGAAGGCTGAGTCCCCTGATTTCCCACCCCACACTCTATATTTCTGTGTGTGTCTTTAATTCCTCTAGCACCGCTGGGTTGGGGTCTCCACGACCGAGCTGGTATCAGCAAGTGGCGCCCAACGTGGGGCTTGAACCCTGGTTGAAGGGTCTCTGGAGTGACGGTTGGAGAACATGGAACTAAGCTGGAGGACACCCAAGTACTCTTAAGCAATCCCCGTAGTGAGTAAGAAGGGGAACTCAGAAGCATCAGGGTAACAATGGGACAAGTGTGGGCTCTGGTTTGTTCCACTCTGGAACCTTTTCACACTAATGATGAGAAGGAAGGAAAGTATAACAAAGTAACAGAAGAGATGACAGAGCAGGTTTGTTTGCCAGCTAAAGCTAAAGCAGCAAAAGAGGAAGAGGGTTGTCCCTACCCTTCTGCACCCCCTCATTATTTTGAAGAACTAGTGACCTGACACTCCAGATCTTTCTTTTCCAGAGGACACTGGGCAAAAAGTAGTTGCCCCAGTGACTGTTCTAGCAGCGCCTTGAGCAACCACTCTCAATTCTATTCAGGCAGGAATTCAGCAAGCTAGATGAGAGGGTGATATAGAAGCATGGCAGTTCCCTGTTAGGGTACACCCCCAAGATCAACAGGGAAATATTATAGCTCACTCCCTCACCCCTGTACAATGTCTGTCCCCCACCACAGCCAGTAGTGCTGCAGTAGATTTATGCTGCACAAAAGCTGTGAGCCTTATGCCTGGGGAACCCCCACAAAAAGTTACAACAGGGGTCTGTGGATGCTTGCCAGCAGGGATGATAGGATTACTTCTAGGTAGATCTAGTTTAAATTTAAAAGGAGTGCAAGTACTTACAGGAGTTATTGATTCAGATTACAATGTGGAAATTCAAATTGTTATATTTACTTCTCTTCCCTGGAAAGCAGAGCCAGGAAAGCGTACAGCACAACTCCTGATTGTGCTGTATGTGGAAATGGGGAAAAGTGAAATTAAACTAACAGGAGGATTTGGAAGCACAAATAAACAAGGCAAAGCAGCTTATTGGGTGAATCAAATTATTGATAAACGTCCTACCTGTGAAATAACTATTCAGGGAAAGAAATTTAAAGGTTTGGTAGATACAGGAGCAAACATTTCAATCATTTCTCTACAACACTGGCCATCCATGTGGCCAATTCAACCTGCTCAATTTAACATAGTTGGAGTTGGTAAAGCCCCTGAAGTATATCAAAGTAGTTGTATTTTGCATTGTGAAGGCCCGATGGACAACCTGGGACTATTCAACCAATTATAACTCCTGTACCTATACATTTATGGGAAAGAGACTTGTTAAAACAATGGGGAGCACAAGTTCTAATTCCAGAGCAATTGTATAGCCCTCAAAGTCAACATATGATGCATGAAATGGGGTATGTCCCTGGTATGGGATTAGGAAAAATTGGCAAGGTTTGAAAGAACTGCTTCAAGCGGAAAGACAAAGTTCCTGCCAAAGATTAGGATATCATTTTTGATGGCAGCCATTTTTAAGCCTCCAGAACCTATACCTTTAAAATGGTTAACAGATAAGCCAATTTGGACAGAACAATAGCTGCTAAGTAAAGAGAAACTGGAGGCTTTAGAGGACTTAGTTACTGAACAATTAGAAAAAGGACACATAGCTCCAATATTTTCCCCTTGGAACTCTCCAGTTTTTATAATTAAGAAAAAATCAGGTAAATGGAGACTAACTTAAGAGCCATTAATTCAATTATACAATCTATGAGGACATTGCAGCCAGGACTGCCTTCTCCTGCTATGATTCCAAAAAATTGGCCTTTAAGTCATAGATTTAAAATACTGTTTCTTTACTATCCCCTTAGCTGAGCAGGACTGTGAACGGTTTGCATTTATAATTCCTGCAGTAAACAACCTGCAGCCTGCTAAGCATTTTCATTGGAAAGTGTTGCCACAGGGCATGTTAAACAGTCCAACAATTTGCCAGACTTATGTAGGGCAAGCAATTGAACCTACTCGTAAAAAAATTTTCACAGTGTTACATTATTCATTATATAGATGATATACTTTGTGCTGCCCCCACTCGAGAAATATTATTCCAATGTTATGCTCACTTGCAAAATTTGATTTCTCATACTGGTTTAATTATAGCTCCTGACAAAATTCAGACTGCTACTCCTTACTCCTACTTGGGGACCTTAGTAAATGACACTACCATTGTGCCACAGAAAGTAGCCATACACAGGGATCAACTGAAAACATTAAATTACTTTCGAAAATTACTAGGGGACATTAAGTGGATACAACGCTCTAGGCATTCCTACCTATGCCATGAGTAATCTATTTTCTAATCTTAGAGGAGATGCTAGTCTCACTAGCCCTTGGCTATTAACAAAAGAAGCTGAAGCAGAGCTGCAGCTAATCAAAAAGCAAGTCCATAAAGCTTAAATAAATAGAATAGATCCAGAAAAGACTCTAGATTTTCTAATTTTTTCAAGTCAGCATTCACCTACTGGTGTTATTGTTCAAGAGCAAGATCTTGTAGAGTGGCCTTTTCTTCCACATACTAATTCATGGACTCTAACTCCTTATTTGGATCAAATCGCTACTATGATAGGAAATGGGAGAACTTGGATTGTTAAATCACATGGATATGATCCTGGAAAAATTATTGTCCCTCTCATGAAGGCACAAATACAGCAAGCTTTTATAAATAGTCTTACTTGGCAAACCCATTTAGCTGACTTTGTGAGTATTCTTGATAATCATTTTCCCAAAACAAAATAGTTTCAATTTTTGAAATTAACTAATTGGATTCTCCCTAAAATAACTAAATTCAAACCACTTGAAGGTGCTGAAAATGTCTTCACAGATGGGTCTAGTAATGGTAAAGCTTCTTATTCTGGCTTGAAAAGTAAGGGCTTCAGATTCCCTATACTTCAGCTCAAAAAGTGGAGCTGGTAGCTGTAACTGAGGTATTGACTGCTTTTAATATGCCTATTAATGTGATTTCTGATTCCTCATACATGGTTCATTCCACACAACTGAAAATGCTCAACTATGATTCCACACAGATGAGCAACTGATGACTTTATTTACCCAATTGCAAACAGCAGTCAGGAGTAGAACGTATCCTTTTTATATCACTCACATAAGGGCTCATGCATCTCTTCCAGGACCTTTAACTGAAGGGAATCAAATGGCTGATTGCCTAGTTGCTAATGCAATATCTAATGCTAGACACTTTCACAATTTAACCCATATTAATGCCTCTAGTCTCAAACGCAGATACAGCACTACCTGGAAAGAAGCTAAAGCTATTATCCAGTGATGCCCAACTTGCCAAATAGTGGCTTCCTCATCTTTTACAGGAGGAGTTAATCCTTGAGGATTGGAACCTAATTATCTTTGGCAAATGGATGTCACACATGTTCCCTCGTTTGGGAGACTAGCTTATGTACATGTATGTGTGGACACCTTTTCTCACATTGTGTGGGCTACATGCCAATCAGGAGAGTCTTCTGCCTGTGTTAAACGTCACCTTTTGCAGTGTTTTGCAGTGATGGGCATTCCAGCTTCTATTAAAACAGATAATGTCCCAGGCTATACTAGCCAAGCTCTAGCTACATTTTTCTCTATATGGAATATTAAACACATTACTGGCATCCCATATAATTCTCAAGGACAAGCTATAGTAGAAAGAATGAATCTCTCCCTGAAACAGCAGTTGCAAAAGCAAAAGGGGAGAAAGAGGGACTATGGGACACCCCATATGCAACTGATTCTAGCATTATTGACTTTAAATTTTTTGAGCCTGCCTAAAGGCCAGCAGCTGAACAGCATATACAGAAACCAGCTGCAAAGACAGAAGCAGAACAACTGGTCTGGTGGAGAGATCCAATAACAAAAATTTGGGAAATACGTAAAATAATAACTTGAGGTAGAGGTTGTGCTTGTGTTTCTTCAGGACTGAATCAACAGCCAATTTGGGTGCCGTCAAGACACCTGAAACCTTATCATGAGCCAGATGCTGAGGAAGAGATTCCAGGAGGATCCTGAGGAGACCCTGGTTGTAGCCATGTCAAGACTGACGCTGAGGAGGACCCCAACTATCACAAGCAACAGCTGTCGAACACAGCCACCTACCTGGGGACAGATCAAGAAGCTGTCACAGATGGCGGAAGAAAACCTGAGGAAAGTGGGACAACCAGTCACAATGAGTAATTTAATGATAGCTATGATAGCGGTGATCACCATTGCTATGAGTACTCCTGCAACAAGGAACAACACAGAGAACAATTATACTTATTAGGCATATTTATCAATCTTGGCTGGCAATAATGCCTGGATGTAATCACTGTATGACACAGTTACACATGCTTTCTGATCTCAGTATTTACCATAATAAATCTGCTTCTATAATTGAAGCATACCGCCCTCAAAAATCTATTTGTAAACAGAATTGGACCTGGCCAGAAATAATGAACTAACTTGTTTGGGAACATTGATAGCAGAACAGGCAGAAGTGCTGCACAACAATTCCTGTGGAATCATTATTGATTAGTCTTCTAAGGGGATGTTTAGCTGAATTGCCCCTCTCAGTCTGCGTGCCACGGACACACTACATTCAGCTGGTCTAAACAAAACATCAGATGCTAGAAAGGGTAAGAAATACGTCAAGAGTTCCTATTATCTGGAAACATGGCGGTATAGTGGCACCTCAATCTCAAATGATAAGGCCCACTGTAGGAGCTAAACATAAGGATTTGTGGAAACTATTAATGACTCTTAATAAGATCAAAATTTAGGAAAAAATTAAAAAGCATCTAGAAGGACACTCTACAAACTTGTCTTTGGATATTGCAAAATTAAAAGAACAACTATTTAAAGCATCCTGGGCACACCTGACCTTAATGCCAGGAACTGGAGTGCTTGAAGGAGCTGCAGACAGATTAGCAGCTATTAACCCATTAAAATAGATAAAGACACTTGGTAGCTCTGTGATTTCAGTGATGATTGTGCTTTTAATCTGTGTTGTTTGTCTTTGTATAGTCTGCAGATACGGATCCCAACTCCTGAGAGTAGCTCACCGTGACAAAGCTGTCTTTGCTTTTATTGCTTTGGAAAACAAAAAAGCGGGACATGTTGGGAACAGGCCCCCAAACTGGGCCATAAACTGCCCCAAAAACTGGCCATAAACAAAATCTCTGCAGTACTGTGACATGTTCGTGATGGCCATGATGCCCACGCTGAAGGTTGTGGGTTTACCAGAATAAGGGCAAGGAACTCCTGGCTCACCCAGAGCTGAAAACAACTTAAAGCATTCCTAAGCCACAAACAATAGCATGAGCTATCTGTGCCTTAAGGACATGTTCCTGCTGCAGATAACTAGCCAGAGCCCATCCCTTTGTTTTGACCCATCCCTTTGTTTCCCATAAGGAATACTTTTAGTTAATCTATAATCTATAGAAACAATGTTTATCACTGGCTTGCTGTCAATAAATATGTGGGTCAAACTCTGTTTGGGGCTCTCAACTCTGAAGGCTGTGAGTCCCCTGATTTCCCACTCCACCCTCTATATTTCTGTGTGTGTGTCTTTAATTCCTCCAGCACCGCTGGGTTAGGGTCTCCACGATTGAGCTGGTCTCAGCAATCTGCCAACCCCCAGGCAACAGAAAGAGGCTTATCCAACAACAGAGTGATGGAACCACTCTGTAAATGTCATGAGTTTTGAGTGATCAGCAACTGGCCTCAGGTCCCTGGAGCTTGGTGGCCTGTCACCACACTCACACTGTTTGCCGTCACACCTTGGACACCTTGGCATGGGCTCTGAGTTCAATCCCTGGCATTCTGGAACAGGTCTGGAGCAAGTCTGATGCCAGGGCAGCCTTTGTTCTGGTAGACAGTGGGATGGCCCCAGGACCCTCCTGCCCTCTCTGATGCCTGAATGTCTGCTTTCAGGCTCCTAACAAGTTCACTCCACGGAGACTTCCTCCGCTGCCAGGGACCTGGTGACGCCTTCCCTTCTCTGATCCTCTGACCCTGGCTGCCTGATTCTGTGATTAGACTGAACTGAACCAGGCTGCAAACCTCCTCAAGACAAGGACCCTAGATTGTTCACATTTTTTGAGTCTACAAGATAGAACCCAATACAAATGTAGGGATGACAGTGATGCTGGAGCCAATGCTTCTGACTGTGACAGGATCTCCACCAAACAACTATCAAGGACCAGGCAGCTGTTCTTTTGACTGAGGACACCAACAAATGTAGTCTTCTGTGTGAGATCAGATGAGATGATATGAGATACTGTCCATGTAAATGATTCATAAAAGGCAGGGCATTGTACAAATCATTGCTATTAATACAGTCTCCACTGCCCTGGTCAGTGACTGGTTCATTTCTAACGACCCTTCACCTTTGATTGGTACTTCCAGTAACTGAGCCATTTCCCTTTGCCCTACCCACCAGCTGATTTGCTACAATGTTCACCTATCAGGAGTCCAGTTTTTGGTGGCCTGCTATAGATACCATAACCAGCCAGTCTAGTGTTTCTCCTATGCCCTCACACCTTTATGTGGCACATTGGAGATGGTTCTTGAAGTAGTGGAGAGCCAGCTTGAACTGGACCTGGGCGAGGGTGTTGGACCGGTATGTATTGTAGGTCTTCTCTAGGGCATCCAGCTCTGAGTCCACCACTGGAGACCGAGACTGGTGACCTATAATCACTTCTGGGCATGACCCCACGAGTAGGGTCCCCAGCCCATCAATGAAGAATTCTGCAAAGAGAGGGAGAGCAGAAGGAAGTGGGAGCTGCGGTCAGAAAAATGGGTACTATTCCAGATCTGAGTGGGGAGAATCCCAGGGAGAGGACACAGTTCATACACTGGAGAGTGTGAACTGTGAAGCCCCACGTGAAGCCACACCCTTAACTCTAGGAGCCTGTCCCTGCTGATGAGCTGGAAGGAAATAAATAAGCTCATTTCTCAGGCAGAGATATGGGCAAAGGCAGAGAGGCACAGATTGGCTTTCAAACTGGACAGAACTGTGGACTCCAGGGCTGATGGAGTAAGAGGGAAAGACAAAGCAGTTAACAGGACAGGATTTCTGGAAAAATAGAATATGAAGCAGCATGGGAAAGGAGGAAGAAGACAGAGCTGCAGGGAAAGGAAGGGAAAGGAAAAGAAGGGCAGCCTACAGGATACACAGAAGTCAGAGACGTGAGGAGGGAGGTCAGAGAGATCAAGAGCTCCCTAGTCTGGGGAGAAAGGGGAAAAGGACGTACTGCTGCTGGGCAGGCGACCACCATCAGCCAGCTGGGTACAGCCCTTGGAAAGAACAAACTTTTGTAGCTAATTCCCAGCCCAGCTCCCTTCCTCACTCTTTCAGCCTTCCCACCTGAGTGAGCCACTCGTTGCAGGCGGGGATCAAAGCCAACTCTTTGGAGTCGCTCCGTATGGGCCAGGAAGAAGTTGACCACGCCACTGGTCACCACACAGTTGGGGAAGCCATCCAGGGGTTGGAAAAATCCCGTCCTCTTGTGAAGGCAGGCCCCGTTCTCACTCTGTTCCAGCAACAACTTAAACTGGAACACATTTCCCAGCACACTGCCGCCTACCTAACCAGCAGGCAGAGAAACCCATGTTAGAGAGTGCAGATCAATATTCATCCTGCCTCTTCCAGGAAGCCTTGCTGGACTGCACCTCGGTTATAACAAGAATTGTTATTTCTCTATCTATCCTTCAAATTATCCCTCAGGGACTGCCTTTTTGCTGTTGTGGCCACGGCTTTCACTATGCTACTGTTGGGTCCCTGGGCTCTTTTATTTCCTGTGTACCCCAGAAAATCTCCTTGGCATGAGTAGCCCTTACCCAAGACCAAAGAAGGTTATCTTTCCAGAAGAAGGTAACTCACTCCCTTCCACTGGGAGAGGAGTACTGCAGTATGGGTAAGAGGCAGCCCGTGTGCACTGGTCCATTTGCGGAATTTCCACTTGTTAGATTTCTTACAGGGAGCTGTTTGTCTCGAGCTGTCTTCCTACTATTTTCTGCTCCTGGCTTACCTCTCTGAACTGCCTATCCATGCACTCATGGAAGAGACGTGCATTTTCATGTTTGAGCCTGAGCACAACAGATGAGCAAGTACATCTATCTCTGAAAGAATCATAATCTTCTAAGGGGGACATGGTAAAGTCTGCTCATTGTCCCCCATCACCTGTACTTTCCTTCTTCCTTTTAGTAAATGACTCTTCTGAGTTTTATGACATAGTCAACTAGTCAGCTAAAGACTACATTTCCAGGAGCTAAACAATGGGTACACATGGGCATACAGAGTGGAATAATAGACACTGGGGAATACAAAAAGTAGGAGGTTAAGAGTGGTCGAGGGTTAGGCCGAGCATGGTGGCTCACACCAGTAATCCCAGCACTTTGGGAGGCTGAGGTGGGTGGATCTCCTGAGGTCAGGAGTTCGAGAGCAGCCTGGTCAATATGGTGAGACCCTGTCTCTACTAAAAATACAAAAATCAGCCGGGCACGGTGGCATGTGCCTATGGTCCCAGCTACTTGGGAGGCTGAGGTAGGAAAATCACTTGAACCCAGGAGATAGAGGCTGCAGTGAGCCAAGATCGTGCCACTGCACTCCAGCCTGGGTGACAGAGCAAGACTCTGTCTCAAAAAAAAAAAGAAGACTGGGTGAGGGTTGAAAAATTACCTGTTGGGTACAATGTTCGCTATGCAGGTAATGGGTACACTAAAAGCCCAGACTGCAGCACTACGAAAGACATGTGTATAAGCTATCTGCACCTGGGCCCCCCTAATCTATAAAAATAAAAAACAAAAGCCCATTTGTTATTTAAGGAAAAAAAGACTGCATTTCCCAACCTCCCTTGCAGCAAGGTTTCACTGTGTGACCAAGTTCTGGCTGAAGGGATATGATTTAGAACCGATGCGAGAAATGTTTACATCACATCCTTAAAAGAAACCTGGTCTCCCTTCACTTCCTCTTCCCGTCTTCCTCCTGGCCATGCAGCCGGGGACCAAAGGATCAAGGAGCAACAAGAAAAGGAAGCTGATCCAGGATGATCCTGAAGCCAGCTCAGCTGCCAGTGTGGTTGTTACATGAGCTGGAACATCTTCTTTCTTAAGTTATTGTGATCTGGTCTCTGTACGAGTTGCCAAGAGATGTCTTTGCTGATCTAGGTGTTTTGCAGATTGTCCACTTGCAGTAGAGTTAACTGTGGTCACGACACCACTTACCTTCTCATCCATGCCCCTTTTTCTTTTCTATGGTGAATTTGCTTTTGATGTTTTTATTCTTTTCTTTTTTTGAGACAGGTATCACTCTGTCGTCCAGGCTGGAGCACAGTGACACAATCTCAGCTCACTGTATCCTTGACCTCCTGGGCTCAGGTGATCCTCCCACCTCAGCTCCTGAGTAGCTTGAACTACAGATGCACACCACTACCCCTGGCTAATTTTTTTTATTTCTTTGTACGGATGAGGTTTTGCCATGTTGCCCAAGCTGGTCTTGAACTCCTGGGCTCAAGTGATCACCCTGCTTTAGCCTCCCAAAGGGCTGGGACTACAGGTGTGAGATACCACGCCTAGGCTGTTTTTATTATTTTCTTCTTATTCTTTTTAAAAATGTCATTAGTGTCATGTGTGCTTTTAAAGCTTTGTACCATTTATACTGTTTTTAATGTTGTGTGACAGAACCAGAGGGCTGCTGTCTTTAATCTCATACTAGTCAATGGAGGAAGTTAGAAATTCTGCATAAACACACCAATAAAGGAAAACAATTGCAAATTAGGGAGGGGTTGTAATTTACTCAAAGAAAAGTCAGTGTGGAGGCATGAGCTGGTGCAGCACTCTCCACCTGGGTTGCACTGGCCAATTCACCTCCTGTGCCAGCCCTTCTCCCTCCCCTCCCTCCCCCTCCTCTTCTCATATATTTCTTCCCGCTCTCATCTCCCTCCTTCTCCATCTCTACAGATTGAGGCTGGGTAAAACTGGCAACTGTCCCTTACCACGTCCAGTTCCGTTTTCTCCAGGACATCCACCAGCACCTCAATCTTGGTCTTCTCGTTGAAGAGAAAATCATCGTCCACCCAGAGAACGTATTTGGTGGTGACCTGAGATATGGCCAGGTTCCTACCAGCAAACCAACCCTATAGATGAAATGAGGTTAAAGGAGTGGTTGCCCATATTACATATTAGAATCACCTGGGGGCGCTTTCTAAATTCCCAACGGCCAGGCTGCATGCACTGCAGACAAATTCCGTTAGAATTGGTGCAAGCGAATCCAATGTAAAGCCAAGGCTGAGAACCACAGGGTTGAAGGAAGTCCATGTCTCAGAGAAAGTCTGGAAGGGACAGTCACTATGTGGATCAAAGACTGAGACAAAGAAAGGCTAGAAAGTCACTCTTTGGCTCTATGGCCTATATGAATTGGCTGAAGTCCCTTTTCACATGACAGTTTCTATGGCTCTCCTTTTGTCTCCTGTAAGATGTCAAGTTTGAGGGACGTCTGGTATGTATAATATTCATTTCCTCCTTTGTCCTTGGAGGAAGGAAGGGGGAGAGAGAGGGAGGAAGAAAATGAGAGAGGGAGAGAGTAGTAAGGAGAGAGAGAGGTGGGGGGAGAGAGAGGGAGGGTGTGAAGAAGAGAGAGAGAGAGAAAGAGAGAGTGGGGAGGAAGAGAGATAGGTGACGGGAGAGAGGGAGGGTGAGAAGAAGAAAGGGAAAGAGAAAGAGCAGGGAGGCAGAGAGAGAGAGAGGCAGGGGAAGAGAGGGAGGGTGGGAATAAGAGAGGGAGAGAGAAAGAGCAGGGAGGTAGAGAGAGAGGCGGATGGGGAGAGGGAGGGTGTGAAGAAGAGAGGGAGAGAGAAAGAGAGAGTGAGGAGGGAGAGAGAGAGGCAGGGGGAGAGAGGGAGGGTTGGAAGAAGAGAGGGAGAGAGAAAGAGAGAGTGGGGAGAAAGAGAGGAAGGGGAGAGCGGGAGGGTGGGAAGAAGAGAGGGAGAAGGAGAGAGAAAGACAGAGTGGGGAGGGAGAGTCAAGGAGAAAGAGGGAGAGAGAGAAAGAGGAGAGAGAGGCCAAGACCCTAGCTTTGGTAGAATCATGGAGATGAGAGATTTCTCTACATGTCAGGAATCTTTGGGATGTCAGAGACCTCAAGTCACTTATAAGGACCCCAATCAATTTCCACATCAGAAATGAGGAAAGATGGGAGCAGGGTACAGTGGCTCATGCTTGTAATCCCAGCATTTTGGGAAGCCTAGGTGGAAGGATCACTTGAGCCCAGGAGTTCGAGACCAACCTGGCCAACACAGTGAGACCCCGTCTCTACAAAAAATTTTAAAAATTAGCCTGGCATCATGGTGCATGCCTGTAGTCCCAGCTACTAGGGAGACAGAGGTGAGAAAATCACTTGAGACTTTAAGGTTGAGGCTGCCATGATCACCATGATTGCACCACGGCACTCCAGCTTAGGTGACAGAGCAAGACTCCATCTCAAAAAAATGAAAAATAAAAAAATAGAAATGAGAGACTGGGCGTGGTGGCTCACATCTGTAATCCCAGCACTTTGGGAAACCAAGACAGGCGGATCACCTAAGGTCAGGAGTTTGAGACCAGCCTGCCCAACATGGTGAAACCCCGTCTCTACTAAAAATACCAAAAAAAGCTGGGTGTGGTGGTGCACGCTCGTAGTCCCATCTACTTGGGAGGCTGAGGTAGGAGAATCGCTTGAATTCAGGAGGCAGAGGTTGCAGTGAGCTGAGATCATGCTACTGCCCTCCAGCCTGAGCGACAGAGCAAGACTCCATCTCAAAAAAAAAAAAAAAGGAAAGAAAAAAAAAAATGAGGAAAGGTGGAATAACCACCTCCTGAATGCAGAAAAGTGAGGCTGACCAATTTCTCTCTGATCAGCAAGGGGACTCAGAGGACAGCCCTCACCCACTCCTACTCCTGGACCCTGCTTTCTTGGGAAGACCCTTGAGGAAGCGGCCCCATCCAGGGTGGAACCTGACCCTGGGGCCCTCTTGTCCTGGAATGCAGGTGCACCCCAATCTGAGAGGGACATACCTTCCCAAAGGGCATAGTGTAATACTCCACATGGTTGTCTTTAATTTCCAGGGGCTTCTTGCTGTCGTCAGCCACTATCACGGTCAAGTCTGGGTAATACTCTCGAATACTCCGGAGCATGATCATGAGCTTGTGGGGGCGGAGGAAAGTCTTGGTGGCAATGGTAACCAGGTTTCTGAGCTTCCTCTCTGGGCAGAAAACAGTGGGTGTCAGAGCTCTGTCCTGTAGGAAGCGTCACTGTATTTTCCTGCTTTGATCCGATGGCTTATTTCTGCCATAACCTGTCAGTGTCTGTGGGTCTCATGCCTCTTGTACCCAGGAGGTGCTTAATAAGAGTTTGTTAGTTGCATTAGAAAATAAAGACATTTACAACATACCCAATTTGTTGCATTTCCTAGTTCTGTTGGCTCCACTATGTCATTTCCCAACTGTCTGTCTGAATGCTTCATTTTACACCTCCTGCCTGTTAGCACTTCGCTTGTGTTCTGCTATTTATTTATTTATTTATTTATTTATTTATTTATTTATTTATTTTCTGAGACGGAGTTTTGCTTCTGTCGCCCAGGCTGGAATGCAATGGTGCAATCTCGGCTCACTGCAACTTCCGCCTCCCAGGTTCAAGTGATTCTTCTGCCTCAGCCTCCCAAGTAGCTGGGATTATAGGCATGTGCCAGCACACCTGGCTAATTTTGTATTTTTAGTAGAGATGGGGTTTCACTATGTCGGCCAGGATGGTCTCAACTCCTAGTCTCCTGGTCTCAAACTTCTGACCTCAGGTGATCTGTCTGCCTCAGCCTCCTAAAGTGCTGGGATTACAGGCATGAACCACTGCTCCTGGTGTTCGTCTTAATATTAGGAGTTGAAATGCACAGAGCTTTGCCCATCTAAGGGTTCAATATGGAGGGTCATGGAGCCCAGGAAGAGGAGAAAACATCTACAAATCTTGAGACTTGCTTCTACCATCATCTGCAACTGCTAGAGAAAAGCTTACCTGATCTCTATCCTCAGGAAGACATGGTTAGAAATAGGTTTACTTAGAGATTGCAAGGCCTGGACCGAATTGTCTATCTTAAGGCATATGACGTGTAAGAGACTGGAGAGCGGACAGGTTTCCTACGGAAAAGACCCTATGATGTCACAACTGGAGCTGCAGGTGTGTTTGGGATTCAGCCACTAAACGGAGAACTGGTATCTGACTGTGCAGTTCCCGTGTCTGCATGGCATGGGGCCAGCTGGAGTTAATGCATGCTGGAAGCCACAACCCTACCTGTTAGTGGGTAAGTACACAGAGCCACTTTCCCAGAATGACAAAAATCAGAAGTCGTTTGGACAGCAGTTGTTCCAGAACCCTCCCCCTGTGCCACCCTCTTGCCCCTTTTTTTAAGACAGGTTCTGGCTCTGTCACCCAGACTGGAGTGCAGTGGCGTGATCTCAGCTAACTGCAAACTCCGCCTCCCAGGTTCAAGCGATTCTCCTGCTTCAGCCCACCAAGTAGCAGGGAATACAGACATGTACCACCATGCCCGGTTTTGGATTTTTTGGATTTTTAGTAGAGATGGGTTTTCACCATGTTGGCCAGGCTGATCCTGAACTCCTGACCTTAAGTGATCTGCTCACCTTGGCCTCCCAAAATGCTGGGATTACGGGTGTGAACCACCGCGCCCAGCCCATTCTGTTTTTTGTCATTGCGAACAGTGCTGCAATAAATAACCTCAAACAAATGTCGTTTCACACAGATATTAATATCTGTAGGATAATTTATAGAAATGGAATTGCCGGCCTAAAGGATATTTAAACATTTAAACACATTTAAAATGTTGATAGGTATTGCCAAATTGCCTCCAGAGAGGTGCCAATTTGCATTCCTAACCGCAATTGATATGCTGTTTTTCCAGCCCTGTCCAAAACCTTTTTGATGTGAAAGTAGTTTTCACATGCACTTTTCTCAGTGTGAGAGTGGGCATATATTTTAATGGCTAAAAGTGTTGCTGAATTTAATTTTTTCTGAACTGTGCATTTTTCCATTACTGGGTGTTCTTCTCTTATTGATTCATAGAATTTTTTTTTTTTTTTTTTTTTTGAGACAGAGTCTCACTCTGTCCCCCAGGCTGGAGTGCAGTGGCATGATCTCAGCTCACTGCAAGCTCTGCCTCCCGGGTTCACGCTATTCTCCTGCTTCAGTCTCCCGAGTAGCTGGGACTACAGGCACCTGCCAACACGCCAGGCTAATTTTTGTATTTTTAGTAGACACGGGGTTTCATCATGTTAGCCAGGTGGTCTCGATCTCCTGACCTCGTGGTCTGCCAGACTCAGCCTCCAAAAGTGTTGGGATTACAGGCGTGAGCCACTGCGCCTGGCCCATAGATGCCCTTAAGTAAAATTAGACCTTTGTCTTTAACGTGAATTAAAGACTTTTTCCCAATTTGTCCTTTGTTATTTGACTTTACTTATTAAAATTTGCTAATTTTAATATATAAAATTTTATATATTTTATATTTTTAATTTTTTTCTTTATGGTCTCTGAGTTTTGTGTCATGCCTTATACCCCAAGATTGCTTTTTAAACTACAATTTTTTTTTTCTTTTTTTTTGAGATGGAGTCTTGCCCTGTCGTCCAGGCTGGAATGCAATGGCAGGATCTCGGCTCCCTGCAACCTCTGCCTCCAGGGTTCAAATGCTTCTCCTGCCTCAGTCCACCCAGTAGCTGGGATTACAGGCGCACACCACCACATCTGGCTAACTTTTAAACTACAAGTTTTTTTTCTAGTACTTTAAAACATATTTAGATATCTGATCAATTGGAATTTATCTTGGTATGAACTGTGGCATAGATTCAAGTTTTACTTCTAATTTAAAAGTTATTTTTCAATTGTTAATTTTTTTTGAGACAGGGTCTTGCTCTGTTGCACAGGCTAGAGTATAGTGGTGATCGTGGCTCACTGCAGCTTCAACTTCCCAGGCTCAAGCCACGCTCCCATCTCTGCCTCCTGAGTAGCTGAGATTAGAGGTGTGAGCTGGATTACAGGTGCCGTCACACTTGGATTCCGCTTTTTATCTTTCTTATAGCTACACCATTATCTCACATAATTTTTTGAAAAGCCCATTTTTAATTTGTTCATTTGCCCTCCTTTAATTTGACAAGCTGTCTCTCTCTCTCTCTTTTTCGAGACAGAGTCTTGCTCTATTGCCTAGGCTGGAGTGAAGTGGCACAATCTAAGCTCACCGAAACCTCCACCTCCTGGGTTCAAGAGATTCTCCTGCCTCAGCCTCCCGAGTAGCTGGGATTACAGGTGCCCGCCGCCATGCGCAGCTAATTTGTGTATTTTTAGTAGAGGTGGGGTTTCACCATATGCTAGGCTGGTCTTGAACTCCTGACCTCAGGTGATCTGCCCACCTAGGCCTTCCAAAGTGTTGAGATTACAGACGTGAGCCACCGCGCCCAGCCAGACAAGTTGTCTTTATCACACAGTGAAATTCCAACATGTACTGGGTTTATATCTGGATTTCCAATTTGATTCAGTACCACTCTTTTTATTATTATTACTTTCTTTCCCAAAACTAGCACACAACCACAAAATAAGTTAAATATCATTGAGCAATTTTAGGGGATTGTGTCCTAGAGGTTTTTTCCTCCCAACGAAGCTTGTCAGGGAGCATATCAGAGCTGTCATTTTGATCAATTATCCTCCGTCTCAGAGGTGATCCCTTCTGAATTTCACCAATAGCTTCACAGGGTGCCACCATGGAGCCCCAAGGACAAGGGCCTTACCTGGTCCAGGGTCGTATAGCTTGGGTATGACAGGATGGCGGATGGTCACTGGAAACTTGGCCACTGAGGACCGGGACTCCAGACTCACTGGAGGGAGAAATAAGGTCATGGTATAGGCAGTATCATGTCTGGATCAAACTCCATGCCACCCCGGGAAGCCACCATGACAGGCAAGTGCAGGTTTGGTGGGGAGAGTCCTGGCTGGGATGAGATTAAGGACCCCATAGAGTATCTGGCATTCAGGCTTCCGCCTTGCTGTGTCCCTGGGGCAATGGGCTCAATGACTCCTAAGTTCACATTCCTTCCCCTGTGAGGATGTGGTAGGGTGGAGTGGGCTTGAAACCAGAGGGTCTGGGCTAAGTTTGACTTTACCATTTCCTATCTGACTTTTTTCTCTGTCTGCAAAACCAGGATAACAATACCCACCCTATTTTGCCTCACAGGGTAATCTTGTGAAGAGGAATGTTTGAAAATCTGAAGGTGGGGAGAATTAACTCTTTAGCTAGTGGCCATGAATATCATCTGTAACCATGTTACATTTTTTTCCGTTGGTGTCCTGGGAATGCATCCTGTGTATCTGGTCAAAAGAGAAAAGGGTGCTTTTAACTCATCCAGAAAGAAACTCAGGCCGCCCTGAGAGTGGCAGGGATTGTTCTCCCTAGAACTTCTTAGTGGGAGGGAAGGAGGGGAGAGACAAAGCCACCACCCTTGGAACGGGGAGTTCTCCCAGTTCTTTCCTATTAGTGCCCAAGACAAGATGCTGAGGCACAGGCTGGCCCCCTCCTCTACTGCAGTGGAAATCTTCAGCTCTGAGAGCAGCAGAGGACCGGGGGCAGAACTGGATGGTTCTCACCATGTGCAACGCGCACAGCATGATTTGTTCTCTCCTCGAGTGGCTCTATGGGGTCAATGGCAATGTGGGGATAGTACTGGGTACTGTAATTATGAAGTTATGTGTCTGGGGTTAGAAAGAAAAAAGAGGGCAGGAATCTTAAAAGCAGGCAGGCAGGCTGGGTGCAGTAGTTCACACCTGTAATGCCAGCACTCTGGGAGGCCGAGGCAGGTAGATCATGAGGTCAGGAGTTCAAGACCAGCCTGGCAAAGATGGTGAAACCCCGTCTCTATTCAAAATACAAAAATTAGCCGGGCATGGTGGCAGGCGCCTGTAATCCCAGCTACTTGGGAGGTTGAGGCAGGAGAATCGCTTGAACCTGGGAGGTGGAGGTTGCAGTGAGCAAAGATCACAACACTGCACTCCAGCCTGGGTGGCAGAGTGAGACTCTGTCTCAAACAAACAAACAAACAAAAAAACATACAAAAACAGGCAGGCTTCCTGAAGGAGGACGACTTTGAGAGGACCCAGAGGGATCTTCTGGATCCCTAAGCATTTTGCACCCCAAGGACAGGCTCTCACCTATGTCCACCTTCTGGTGCTGGTACCCCGTGCTGGTGTATGTCATGTGCTGAAGGATGAAGTTCAACAGCTTCCGGTCACTGGTAGAAATGGTAAGCTGCTTCTGGCCTCTGCCCTGAACCACACTGTCTGGGACGTCAGCAAGGGTGTTCAGTGTCCCCAGAGAAGCTGTCAGGGTGACCTAGGGTGGGTGAGGTAGAATGATGCTCAATGCACAGACTGGAAAATATCTCTCTGGAAAGCTCCACACATACCCAGGCCAGGAGCCAGGGCAGAGCACGTAAGGGTGAGGGGAGAAGCACCAGGGTGCCCTTGACAGTGTAGGGCTGGCTCTGCAGGGAGTCACTGTGCTAGCGCCCCCGCCCCCAAACCCCCAAGTCCTAGGGCCCCAAGGATGAAAGGACCCATTTCTGGAAACATTCCCATCTCTCAGCTTGCAGGGTTCCATTCTTCGTGACAAAAAAGACCCACGGCCTTTTTTGACCTCTCTTGGACAACTCCTCCTCCTCCTCCTCCTCTCTCTATCTCCAAATGGAGTTTTTCAGAACATGATCCGGATTTTTTTTTTTTTTTTTTTTTTTTTTTTTTTTTGAGATGGAGTCTTGCTCTGTCACCCAGGCTGGAGTGCAGTGGCACAATGTCAGCTCACTGCAACCTCTGCCTCCCAGGTTCAAGCAATTCTCCTGCCCCAGCCTCCCGAGTAGCTGGGGTTACAGGCATGAGCCACCACACCTGGCTCATTTGTTTTTGTAATTTTAGTAGAGACGGGCTTTCGCCATGTTTGCCAGGCTGGTCTCAAACTCCAATCCTAGACTTTTTTCCCTTCTCACTCCACACCTTCCTGCTAGATTACATCTGTTCCCATGGCTTTAAAACCCGTTCTTTTGCAGATGGGGTCACATTGTAGTAGGTCTCAGCTCACCTTTCTGAGATCCAACTGCTGGAACATTTCACAAGCAACTCAAACCTGTTGTCTTCAAAATGGAACTACTGATTTTCCTCTGTAAACCCATTTCCTCCCACCCTCACCTCCATTCCCTCTGCCTTGCGGATGGCACCTCCATCCACTCAGCTATTCCAGGCCCCAAGGGAAATCCTCCTTGCTCTGCCCTTTTCTCCACACAGACAGCCCGTCCAGCGGCAAGTCCTCTCAGCTCTGCCTCCAAAATGCAACTAGAACTGACTTACTCCTCTCCACCTCATTGCTACCCCCACAGCCACTCTCTTCTCTTGTCTTCTGTGAGTCATCACAGTTATCTATTAAAGGAAATTGGACAGTGTCACTCCCAACGCTGTTGACACTAGTCAGTCGACAGACACTTTCTAAAAACCGAGTTACAGGCCGGGTGCGGTGGCTCACGCCTGTAATCCCAGCACTTTGGGAGGCTGAGGCGGATGGATCACCTGAGGTCAGGAGTTCAAGACCCGCCCGGCCAACATGGTGAAACCCTGTCTCTACTAAAAATACAAAAATAAGCCAGGCGTGCTGGCAGGCGCCTGTAATCCCAGCTACACGGGAGGCTGAGGCAGGAGAATCGCTTAAAACTGGGAGGCAGAGGTTGCAGTGAGCCGAGATTGTGCCATTGCACTCCAGCCTGGGAGACAAGAGTGAGACTTCGTCTCAAAAATAAATAAATAAATAAATAAATAAAAACCGAGTTACAGGCACTGGGAAAACAGCAGTAAATGCCTTCATGAAGCTTATATTCCAGTGTGGAAGAGAGATGGTAAGCACGGAACTACGCGCAGCAGGGAATTCAGGTCCAGAGCAGGACTACGAAGAAGACAATATAGCCAGGCATGATGGCTCACGCCTGTAATCCCAGTGCTTTGGGAGACCGAGGTGGGAGGATCATTTGAGCGCAGGAGTTCAAAACCAGCCTGGGCAACATGGCGAGACCACATCTCTACTAAAAATAAAAAATAAGTAACCAGGGGCCAGGCACGGTGGCTCATGCCTGTAATCCCAGCACTTTGGGAGGTCAAGATGGATCACTTGAGGTCAGGAGTTCGAGACCAGCCTGGCCAACATGGTAAAACCCTGTCTCTAGTAAAAATACAAAAAATTAGCTGGGTGTGGTGGTGCACACCTGTAGTCCCAGCTACTTGGGAGGCTGAGGCAGGAGAATCAATTGAACTCAGGAGGTGGAGGTTGTAGTAAGCAGAGATCATACCACTGCATTCTAGGCTGGGTGACAGAGGGAGACTCTGTCTTAAAAAAAAAAAAAAAAAAAAGTAACCAGCTTTGTTGGTGCGTGCCTGTAGTCCCAGCTACTCACAGGCTGATGTGGGAGGATTGCCTGAGCCCAGGAGGTCAAGTCTGCAGTGAGTCATGATTGCGCCACTACACTCCAGCCTGGGTGACAGAGTGAGACCCTGTCTCAAAAAAAGACGACAACATAGAGAAACAAGAACCCAACGGTGACGGGTAGCAGAGGCCTTGCCTATCTGCTCCCTCATCACCCATTCCAACCTCTCACTAACATGTAAAGGTGGGAAAACTAAAACCACACTTCCCAGACTCCTCTTGGTTAGGGTTCTGGACGCGATTTGCATCCACTGACCAGATATAGCACCATAAGACCTTAATGTGGAGCTGCGTAAAGTGGGGAAAGGAAGGCAGGGCACAAGCACCATCTGTCTTGCCAGCCTTAACCCTGACAGAGGCCACGCAGTGCCGGAGCCCATGGCTGTGGTGGCCGCTTCCTCTCACACCAGAAGCAGGGGCAGCCAATGGATCCCATTCTTCAGTGTGGTCTGAGAAATCCTCTGGAACTCCAGCCACTTCCAAGGCTAGAAGTCACGTTTTCTACACACCCTTCCTTCCCCTCCCTCCTTGGGCTCATATCTGACCTTAAATCTGGACAGGGGCTCCATCAAAGGCTGAGAGCAGCCGCAGTTGAGGGAATGAGGACAGGACACCAAGTGCAAAGAGGGGCTAGGAGGAGGACTCACCTCATAGACGGGAGCATCGGGTCCTTCAAACTGGAGACCTGGAGGACACAGTGAAAGGAAAGAAAACGGCTCGTGAGAGACACCGCAGCTCCCCGCTGCTCTTGCCAACCTCGTGGACTCCTGCACATCCTTGAGGACTCCTTCAAGTGTCACTTCCCACCCAGAGTGTTTGCTGACATGTGCTCCTCTCCCCAGGCCTCTGTTAGGTGTTGTTTCATGGTCTTTCTCAAACCCCAACAGTTCTAAAACCTCTGATGCCCATCCTCAGCTTTGGAGGCTGTGAATTAATTCCGTTCCTTCTGGGAATCTGTGTTACTGAAAGGGAGGAACTGGTGGATGAATAATGAATCATCTTGTATAAGGCACCCGGAGTAGCCAAACCCATAGAGACAGAAAGCAGAATGGTGGTTGCCAGGGGTGGGGGAGAGGGACAGTGGGGAATTCAGTTAGAGAAGAGAGTTTCAGTTGGGGATGATGGAAAAGTTCTGGTGGTGACTGATGGTTGCACAACAACATGAATATACTTCGTGTCACTGAAGTATACACTTTAAAATGGTTAAAATTGTTAATTTTATGTTTATATATCATGTATTGTAAATAATGTTAATATAATATATATGTTTATATATAGTACTAATGTAATATATATTTCTATATAAAATATATATACTTCTATATAACATATACATTTTTATATATGCTATATGTTTCCATATAAAATTATATACTTCTATATAATATATATATGTGTGTGTGTGTGTGTGTATATGTGTATATATATATATTTTAAGACAGAGTCTCACTCTGTCACCCAGGCTGGAGTGCAGTGGTGCGATCTCAACTCACTGTAACCTCTGCCTCCCGAGTTCAAGTGATTCTCCTGCCTCAGCCTCCCGAGTAGCTGGGACTACAGGTGTGAGCCACCACCACACTCGACTAATTTTTGTATTTTTAGTAGAGATGGGTTTTCACCGTGTTGGCCAGGCTGGTCTCAAACTCCTGACCTCAAGTGATCCACCAGCCTCAGCCTCCCAAAGTGCTGGGATTACAGGCATGAGCCACTGTGCCCAGCTCATTATCTATATTTTACCACAATAAGAAATGAATCATCCAAAATGAAAAACAATTTTTAAGATGGCTATTCAAGAACACTAGTGCTTGAATTCAAATGCATTTACTTTAGAATCTATCTCTGTTCTCATAGTAGGACTAATTCAAATTTGAATTCAAATACATCCTCTCTATATGGCCTTGATAACTTACTAAACTCTCACCTCTGCTTCCCTGTCCCCTTTGTCCCCTGTCTGGGACCCTGCCCTTCCTTCTGTGTGGGGCGTGCCATCTGTTGATGTCCCGCATCCCCCTGTGTCTCGGGCACTCATTCTCATCTCACCTGTTTGAGGTGTGGTTTGTGAATTTCAGATATCTGTCATGCTCCTCAGTGCTGGACCTGGAGAGAGCTAGGCTGGGTCCATGAAGTATGTCAGATCCCCAGGTGTCACCACACCCAGACCTTACTTGGAGGTCTTTTCTGGAGCTTGCGGGTTTCAGGGGGCTATTTGCCTCAAGATGCCAAGAGCCCACAAGCAGAAGAAGACTTCACTGGACAGCCCCACAGAATCCAACATCTCTGCACTGGGAGGGGACGTCTGTGCCTGTAGGCTCATCCTTCTGGTCCCTCTGATAATATTCCACTTTACTCTGATGAGGGATGCGATGCTGAACTAGAGGGGTGTGTAAAAATCCACCATGGAGGGCAGTTTTAACCAAGAGAAATATTCTTTTCACAATGCACTCCCGGCCAGGCTCGGTGGTTCATGCCTGTAATCCCAGCACTTTGGGAGGTGGAGGTGAGCAGATCTGAGGTCAGGAATTCGAGACCAGCCTGGCCAACATGGTGAAAACCCATCTCTACTAAAAATACAAAAAATTAGCCAGGCATGGTGGCGGACGCCTGTGATCTCAGCTACTTGGGAGGCTGAGGCAGGAGGATCATTTGAACCTGGGTGGTGGAAGTTGCAGTGACCTGAGATCATGCTACTGCACTGTAGCCTGAGAGATGGAGCAAGTCTCCATCAAAAAAAAAAAAAAAAAATCACATCAAGCTTCTTGCCTTGTGCTGAGTACACAGCAGGTACCAATGAATGCCTGCTCCATACTTTTATTTTTATTTATTTATTTATTTTTGAGACAGTGTCTCACTTTGTCACCCAGGCTGAAGTGCAGCGGCACAATCTCTGCTCACTGCGGCCTCGACCTCCCAAGTTCAAGCAAGCCTTCTGCTTCAACCCCACAAGTAGCTGGGACTACAGGTGCCCACCGCCACACCCAGCTAATTTTTCTATTTTTTATAGAGACGGGGTTTTGCCATATTGCTCGGGCTGGTCTCAAACTCCTGAGCTCAAGCAGTCCACCCACCTCAGCCTCCCAGAGTGCTAGGATTATAGGCAGGCACGAGCCACAGCACCCAACCCCTTTTTTGTTGTTGTTGTTTTAAGAGACAGCGGAATCTTGCTCTGTCACCCAGGCTGGAGTGTACTGGCAAGATGATAGCTCACTGCAGCCTTGAACTCCTGCCTTGGCCTCCCAAAGTGCTGGGATTACAGGCATGAGCCACTGCACCCGACCTCTCCCTCCTTTTGCCTAAGAAGAGTAAGAATGTTGTCTGAGGCCTCTCGGGATGTGGATGTACTTACCCGGGATGGGAACTGTGTGCAGGGGCATCACTTCCACTCCGTGGACCGGGTACCCAAAGGGGAGGTTGGGCTGGGCCAGCAGGGGCAGTGGGCGGGGCAGCCCTTCTCTGCAGGAAGGAGAACAGAAATGTCAGCAGCTGCCCTGATGCTGGACCCTGGTTTGTTCTCAAAGTGGTGTCTGTGCATGGAGCCTTGCCCTGACAATGTGGAGAAATCAAAATTGGGTTATCCCTGTCTCCCTCCATTCTCACCCCACTGTCCTTATTTCCTCCCCTCTTCTGGCCTCCACAAAGGTACTGAGGTAGTTTATAACAAAGTTTTTTTTTTTTTTTTTTTTGAGATGGAGTCTCGCTCTGTCACCGAGGCTGAAGTGCAATAGCACTATCTCGGCTCATGCAACCTCCGCCTCCCATGTTCAAGCGATTCTCCTGCCTCAGCCTCCTGAGTAGCTGGGATTATAGGAATGCACCACCACGCCTGGCTAATTCTTTTTGTATTTTTAGTAGAGACAGGGTTCCACCATGTTGGCCAGGTTGGTCTTGAACTCCTGACCTCAAGTGATCCACCTGCCTTGGCCTCCCAAAGTGCTGGGATTACAGGCGTGAGCCACTGCGCCCGGCCTCATTTTTGTTTTTGAGACAGGGTTTCACTTTGTCGCCTGGGCTGGAGTACAGTGGCACAATCATGGCTCGCAGCAGTCTTGACCTCCCTGGCTCAGACAGTCCTCCCATCTCTGCCTTTTCATAGCCAGGACTACAGGTACATGCCACCAAGCCCGGCTAATTTTTAAAAATTTTTTGTAGAGATAGGGTCTCACTATGTTGCCCAGGCTGGTCTCCAACCCCTGGGCTCAAGCGATCCTCCTGCCTCAGCCTTCAGAGAAGCCAGGACTATAGGAGAAAGCCACCATGCCTGGCTAACAAAGCACATTTTTTTAAAAAAAAAAACATGACCAGCATAAAAGAAGAAATAAAATTGTCAGATGGTAGAGACCCACCCAGCTGCAGCAGCTAAACACCAAAGTCAGATCTGAACTTCGTGGGAACCAGGATAAAAAGCAATTGACAACCATTACATGGTCCTTACTGTCCAAAGGAAGAAGTAGACCAATTCCTGAAAGGAAGTGGAACTTCTCCTACCACTGAAATAAAAAATAAACTAAATCACAAGAAACTGTATACGGGAGTAATTGTTGTCACAATATTTTTAGAGCAAACAGAGTAACTATTTTTACGGATTACAAATGTGAGCCACCACGTCTGGTGGATAACGATCTTTAGTCAAAAGCAAGCACATAGCACAATCCAGCAAGATTAGTTTTTTGAGGGACTAAGGTATAATGGTTGAAATGTTAGCCTTTGGGACCCAGTTTAACCAGGAGATCATTTAATTACCTTGAAAAAAAAGATTAGACCATCATAGTGAATACTTACGGGAATATGAAAAAGACAAAATTTTTTTTTTTTTTTTTTTTTTTTTTTTTTTTTTTTTTTTTGTTTTTACGGATTACAAATGTGAGCCACCACGCCTGGTGGATAACGATCTTTAGTCAAAGTGCTACATAGGCACAATCCAGCAAGATTAGTTTTTTGAGGGACTAAGGTATAATGGCTGGAAATGTTAGCCTTTGGGACCCAGCTTAACCAGGAGATCATTTGACCATTTTGAAAAAGATTAGACTATCATAGGATACTTACGTGGAATAAGGGAAAAGATAATTGTTTTTTTTTTTTTTTTTTTGAGACGGAGTCTTGCTCTGTGCCCCAGACTGGAGTGCAGTGGCGCGATCTCGGCTCACTGCAAGCTCCGCCTCCCGGGTTTACGCCATTCTCCTGCCTCAGCCTCCCGAGTAGCTGGGACTACAGGCGCCTGCCACCACGCCCGGCTAATTTTCTTGTATTTTTAGTAGAGACGGGGTTTCACTGTGTTAGCCAGGATGGTCTCGATCTCCTGACCTCGTGATCCGCCCGTCTCGGCCTCCCAAAGTGCTGGGATTACAGGCTTGAGCCACCGCGCCCGGCCAACAAAATTTTTAAACGGTAAAAAATTTTTAAACGGTAAAGGTGTACGTAAGGTGTGACACCCACTCTTCATGAAAGTGTGAGTTCACACAAGCCCTCTTGAGGGTGGCAATATCTATCAAAGCCAGCAGGCCAATTAACAGAAGAGGAAATACAAATGGCAATGAACATATGAAACATGCTCAGCCAATCAGGAAACATGAATTTAAAAAAAGAACATGATCTGTCTTTTGCATTAAAGTTTGGTGATAGCAGAGTGTTAGGTGTCAGTAAGAGTGTGACACCCCTCTTCATGAAAGTGTGAGTTCACACAAGCCCTCTTGAGGGAAATTTGGCAATATCTATCAAAAATAAAAAAGGTATACCCTGGGATCTAGCAAGTAAGATGCTAGGTGAAAGGAGAAATGCTTGCATGTGTGAACAATGGGCAAGCATAAAAATGTTCATACACAAGCCCTCTTGAGGGAAATTTGGCAATATCTATCAAAAATAAAAAAGGTATACCCTGGGATCTAGCAAGTAAGATGCTAGGTGAAAGGAGAAATGCTTGCATGTGTGAACAATAGGGCAAGCATAAAAATGTTCATTTCAGCACTGTTTGAAATGAACATCCTTATACATGTATTTTTCTTTTCTCTGAGACGAAGTCTCACTCACTCTGTCAACCAGGCTGGAGTGCAGTGGTACGATCTCGGCACACTGCAAACTCCACCTCCGGGGTTCAAGCAGCTTTCCTGCCTCATTCTCCTGAGTAGCTCGGATTACAGGCACATGCCACCATGCCCGGCTAATTTTTGTATTTTTTGTAGAGATGGGGTTTCACCATGTTGGCTAGGCTGGTCTCGAACTCCTGGCGTCAAGTGATCCGCCCACCTCGGCCTCCCAAAGTGTTGGGATTACAGGCGTGAGCCACAGCGCCTGGCCCTTATATATGTCTTAATGAAAAAGGAAATAATGTAAATATAATGTAATTTTATTGTAAATAATGTAAATGTAAAAATGAAGGTTTTTCAACAATCTACCTTTCAATAGGGAAATGGCTTAGTAAAATGCAGCATATTCATATTCATAGCTATATTGCAATTAAGAGGGATGAACTAGATATATACATAGCTCTTAAAAACATTTCATACTCCTTTCCAGTTCTGGCCCCGGACCCTGCAGCCGCCGAGATGTTGATGCCTAAGAAGAACAGGAATGCCATTTATGAACTCCTTTTTGTTTTTTTGTTTTTTGAGACAGGGTCTCACCAGGCTAGAATGCAGTGGCGCCATTTCAGCTCATTGCAACCTCCACCGCCTGGGTTCAAGCAATTCTCCTGCCTCAGCCTCCTGAGTAGCTGGGACTACAGGCAAGTGCCACCACGCCCAGCTAATTTTTGTATTTTTAGTAGACTCAAGGTTTCACCATGTTGGCCAGGATGGTCTTGATCTCTTGACCTCGTGATCCGCCGGCCTTGGCTTCCCAAAGTGCTGGGATTACAGGTGTGAGCCACTGCGCCCGGCTCTATGAACTCCTTTTAAAGGAGGGAGTCACGGTGGCCAAGCTTCATGTCATGAAGGTCATGCAGTTTCTCAAGTCCTGAGGCTTTGTGCAGAAACAGTTTTCCTGGAGACATTTCTACGGGTACTTTACCAACGAGGGTATCCGGTATCTCCACGATGACCTCCATCTGCCCCCCAAGATTGTGCCTGCCACCCTACACCACAGCTGGCCAGAGACTGGCAGGCCTCCGCCTAAAGGTCTGGAGGGTGAGCCACCTGCGAGACCCACAAGTGGGGAAGCCAACAGCCTGCTGCCAACAAGAGAGCCGAGGTTGAGGCTGCGTCAACAACCAAATTCCAGTAAGAGGCAGATTTGGTCGTGGACGTGGTCAGCCACCTCAGTAAAATTGGAGAGGATTTTTGTTTTGTTTTTAGCTTTTTTTGAGACAGGGTCTCACTCTGTCACCCAGGCTGGAGTGCAGTGGCATGATCTTGGCTCACTGCCACCTCCACCTCCCAGGTTCAAGTGATTCTCCTGCCTCAGCCTCCTGAGTAGCTGGGATTACAGGCGCCCACCATCACACTCGGCTAATTTTTGTATTTTTAGTAGAGACAGGGTTTCACCATGTTGGCCAGGCTGGGTTTCTGACCTCAAGTGATCCGCCTGCCTCAGCCTCCCAAAGTGCTAGAATTACAGGCATGAGCCACTGCACCCAGCCAGAGGATTATTTTGCATTGAATAAACTTATAATCTGAAATAAATATATATATATGTATATGTATATGTATATAATTGAATGAAAAAAACAAATTTCAGAGTGATTTGTTTTTATGGTACCAAGTACACTAAAACACACAAAAAACCAACAGTATATGTTTATACGGATATATACACATACACACACATATATATATAACATACGTGTATATAACAGTATTTAAAAATAGTGTGGAATAATACATACCAAATTCATAATGGCAGACTCTTTAGCTGGGTTTACAAGGGAACCTATCATTTAAGAAAGGGATGAGAATGGCAGTGGTAGTGGTCAGGGGAGTGGGTTAAAATGGACTTTTTCTGGCCAGACACTGTGGCTCAGGCCTGTATTCCCAGCACTTTGGGAGGCTGAGGTGGGTGGATTGCTTGAGCTCAGGAGTTTAAGACAAGTCTGGGCAACATGGCAAAACCCCATATCTACAAAAAATACAAAAATTAGTCAGGCCTGGTAGCATGCACCTGTAGTTCCAGCTATTTGGGAGGCTGAGGTGGGAGGACTGCTTGAGCCCAGAAGGTGGAGGTTGCAGTGAGCCAAGATTGCACCACTGCACTCCAGCCTGGGCAGCAGAGGCAGACTTTATCAAGAAAGAAAGAAAGGAAAGAAAGGAAAGAAAGGAAAGAAAGGAAAGGAAAGGAAAGGAAAGGAAAGGAAAGGAAAGGAAAGGAAAGGAAAGGAAAGGAAAGGAAAGGAAGAAGGAAGGAAGGAAGGAAAGAAGGAAGGAAGGAAGGAAGGAAGGAAGGAAGGAAGGAAGGGAAGGAAGGAAGGAAGGGAAGGAAAGAAGGAAGGAAGGAAGGAAGAAAGGAAGAAAGAAAGAAAGAGAGAGAGCGAGGGAGGGGAGGGAGGGAGAGGGAGGAAGAAGAGAAACAAAGATAAAAAGAGAGAGAGAGAGAGAGAGAGGGGAAGGAAGGAAGGAAGGAAGGAAGGAAGGAAGGAAGGAAGGAAGGAAGGAAGGAAGGAAAGAAGGAAGGAAGGAAGGAAGAAAGGAAGAAAGAAAGAAAGAGAGAGGGCGGAGGGAGGGAGGGAGGGAGGGAGGAAGAAAGAGAAACAAAGATAAAAAGAGAGAGAGAGGGAGGGAGGGAGGAAGAAAGAGAAACAAAGAGAAAAAGAGAGAGAGGGAGGGAGGGAGGAAGGGAAAGAGAACAAGAAAAGAAGAAAAAAATGAACTACTACTTAGAGGAGCATTACACATGCTGCTTTTTAATGGAAGTATAATACAACACTAACACACAGGATCAGATTGACCAATCAGCCTCTACTGAGTCAGAGATCTCATCTAGTATCAAGCTCTACTCATAATTTCAAGGATACAGACAAGAGGCACAGACATCCTCTTAATTAGTCATCCTATATGGATCCCTGGGTCATTCCTTTCACATCAGTCATGCATTCTCTGGAGGATAAGATGTGGTCTCCAAATGCAATTTTGCCAGATTACCTCACCCAACATATAAAGAAGCATGTAAATTGTGAAACATCTCCTGTATATACTCCAGAGATTTATATAGCTTATGTGACATTGACCAGGGAGCAAATGCTTCTGGGTTATTTATCATATGTAATTTCATTAGCTGAAGACATCCTGCAAGAGCAGTGCCAACCTTCACGGAATCCCTAATCTAAAGAAGGAGAGAGAGTCCAGCCTTGGAAGTACCAGTCTAAGCAAGGAGACATAGCCCTTGTAAGCATGAACCTTCCAGTCTGATGGAGGACTGTTTAGCTCTCATAGAGCCCTTGGACTGATTGGAAAACTACAGTCTCACCTTAAGGAGCCCTCAATCAGACAGGAATGTTTAGACACATGGCTTAGCTAGAATTTGGGAATCCCTACAGAGCAGTCAGCAGTAGAAATTAAGAAAAGATAGTGTTGGGCCAGGCATGGTGGCTCACACCTGTAATCCTAGCACTTTGGGAGGCCAAGATAGGGGGATCACTTGAGGCTAGGAGTCCAAAATCAGCCTGGGCAACATAGGGAAACCCCATCTCTATAAAAAATACAAAAATTAGCTGGGCGTGGTGGTGTGCACCTGTAATCCCAACTACTCGGGTGGCTGAGATAGGAGAATTGCTCGAGTCTGGGAGGAGGAGGTTGCAGTGAGCTGAGATCATACCATTGCACTCCAGCCTGGGCAACAAGAACAAAACTCCATCTTAAAAAAAAAAAAAGAAAGAAAAGAAAAGAAAAGAAGAAGTGAGGCAACGGGTTCATGCTCATGGAATTCACTGGTCTTACCATATTCCCCATCATCCTGAAGCAGCTGGATTGATAGAACGGTGGAATGGACTTTTGAAGTCACAATTATAGTGCCAACTAAGTGACAATACTTTGCAGGGCTGAGGCAAAGTTCTCCAGAAGGCCATGTATGCTCTGAATCAGTGTCCAATATGTGGTATTGCTTCTTCCATGGCCAGGATTCACGGGTCCAGGAATCAAAGGGTCACCATCACCCCTAGTGATCCACTAGCAAAATTTTTGCTTCCTGTTCCTGCGACATTATGTTCTGCTGGCTTAGAGGTCTTAGTTCCAGAGGGAGGACTGCTGCCACCAGGATACACAACAGTGATTCCATTAAAGTGGAAGTTAAGATTGCCACCTGGACACTTTGGGATCCTCCTACCTTTAAGTCAACAGGCTAAGAAGGAAGTTACTGTGTTAGCTGGGGTGACTGACCCAGGCTATCAAGATGAAATCAGTCTACTGCCCCACAACGGATGTAAGGAAGAGTGCACAGGGAATACAGGAGATCCATTAGGGTGTCTCTTAGTATTACCATGCCTTGTGATTAAGGTCAATGGGAAACTACAATAGCCCAATCCAGGCAGGACTACAAATGACCCAGACCCTTCAGGAATGAAGGTTTGGGTCACTCCACCAGGAAAAAAAAAAACCATTCCCTGCTGAGGTGCTTGCAGGTACCAGCTGCAGAAATGAGGACTGTAATCGTCATGAGTATTTCCTCCTTCTTTTGTTAAAAACATGTTTGTGCATATACACACTTGTACTAAGAAAATATCTTCATTTTATTTCCTTTTCCTTTGTCATGTGACATAAGATTTATTGACTTCATATCAGATTCTAAGTATTGTTAACTTTATGTAATAGTATTTGGATTGGGGATTGGTGCGTTTCTGGTTGTATGAAAGATAGTTGTATTATGTTAGGCATAATTATGACCTTATGATTGTCTTTATTTGAAGATTATGTATGATCTCAGGAGATGTGTATGGGTTCAAGTTGACAAAGGGTGGACTTGTGATGGTTAACGCTAAATGTCAACTCAATTGGATTGAAGGATGCAATACTGATCCAGGGTGTGTCTGTGAGGGTATTGCAAAAGGAGATTGATATTTGAGTCAGTGGGCTGGGGAAGGTAGACCCACCCTTAATTGGGTGGGCATCATCTAATCAGCTGCCATCAAATATAAAGCAGACAGAAAAACGTGAAGTGACGAGAAAAGCCTAGCCTCCCAGCCTGTATCTTTCTCCTGTGCTGGATGCTTCCTGCCCTTGAACATTGGACTCCAAGTTCTTTAGTTTTGGAACTTGGACTGGCTCTCTTTGCTCCTCAGCTTGCAGACAGCCTATTGTGGGACCTTGTGATCATGTAAGTTAACACTTAATAAACTCTCTCTCTCTGTCTCCCCCCTCCCCCCCTCTCCCCCCCACTATTGGTTCTGGCCCTCTAAGAGAACCCTGACTAATACATGGGGTTTCACCATGTTGGCCAGGCTGGTCTCAAACTCCTGACCTCAGGTGATCTGCCTGGCTCGGCCTCCCAAAGTGCTGGGATTACAGGAGTGAGCCACCATGCCCGACTGGAGCTAGGTATTATTAGCATCCCCATTTTACAGAGATTAAGCAGCTTGCCCAAGATCACCTAGCTGGCAGGTAGAGGATGCAGCACCTGAATGCAGCCAGTCAGCTGCGGCAGCACTGTTAACTACCAAGACCAGATGCTCCTCACATAGCTAGGTGCACCAGGGTTGAAATCCATGCCAGCATCACCTGTGTATTCCACTGGCTGTCCAGCTTTCAACACCTCCTAATGGAGACAGTGCCTCCATCTGTCTTCTGGGGAGCCTTCCATTTGCATGTAATTTGGAGGGTAGTGGCTACTATAATTTGAATGTGTTCCCCAAATTTCATGTGTTAGAAACTTAATTCCCAAATTCATATGTTGTTTGGAGGTAGGGGCCTTTAGGAATTAATTAGGATAAGGTCATCAGGTAGGGACTCCATGATGGGACTGGTGGTTTTTGTTATTATTGTTGTTGTTGTTGTTGTTGTTTTGAGATGGAGTCTCACTCTGTCACCCAGACTAGAGTGAGTCCAGTGGTCCGATCTCAGCTCACTGCAACCTCCACTTCCCAGGTTCAAGCGAGTCTCCCGCCTCAGCCTCCTGAGTATCTGGGACTATAGGCACTCACCACCACACCCGGCTAATTTTTATATTTTTAGTAGAGATGGAGTTTCGCCATGTTGCCCAAGCTAGTCTCCATCTCCTGACCTCATGATCCGCCCACCTCGGCCTCCCAAAGTGCTGGGATTACAGGCGTGAGCCACCACGCCTGGCCAAGTTCAGCGCTTTCCTTGTTTTGTTTGTTTGTTTTTATTTTGTTGTTTTGTTGGTTTGTTTTTGTTTTGTTTACTTTTTTCTTTTTTTTGAGATGAAGTCTCGCTCTGTTGCTCAGGCTGGAGTGCAATGGCACAATCTTGGCTCACTACAACCTCCACCTCCTGGGTTCAAGTGATTCTCCTGCCTCAGCTTCCCAAGCAGCTGGGATTACAAGCGTGTACCACCATACCTGGCTAATTTTTGTATTTTTAGTAGAGATGGAGTTTCACCATGTTGGCCAGGCTGGTCTTAAACTCCTGACCTCAAGTGATCCTCCCACCTCAGTCTCCCAAAGTGCTGGAATTACAGGCGTGAGCCACCGCGCCCAGCCAAGTTCTGCCCTTTTCAACCAACAATCCTGGTTGATACACCTGAGTGTTGACGCTCCTTGTAATCTAAAACAAAAGGATACACTCCTTGCATATAGCACAGGGATAGTATGCTCTCAACATATAAGTGAAAAAAATAAGGCAACTTGGTGATGACTACAAAATCACCTGCTATGATGGCCTGGGTGCATGGAGGCTGTACCACCAGATATTTCAAACTATCTCCATTCCTTTTGTTTTTTTTTGTGTTTGTTTTTGCTTTTGTTGGAGACAGAGTTTCAATATGTTGCCCAAGCTGGAGTGCAGTGGTGTGATCACGGCTCATTGCAGCTTCAACTTCCTGGGCTCAAGTGATCCTCTCACTTCAGCCTCCTGAGTAGCTGGGACTATAGGCGTGCACCATCATGCCTGGCTAATTTTAATTTTTTTTTTTTGTAGAGGTGGGATCTCACTATATTGCCCAAGCTGGTCTCAAACTCCTGGGCTCAAGCTATCCTCCCATCTTGGCCTCCCAAAATGCTAGAATTACAGACATGGGTCACCAGCCCCAGCTTTTTGTTGTTGTTGTTATGAAATGTTTTATACATACAAAGTTTAGTAAATCTTCATTTAAGGATGATTTCCTCAATTCCTTCTTTTTGTTTCATTCCTAATAGTTCCTCCCAGGGACCCTTGCAAGAGAGAGAATTCCTTCCTGCTTTTTCTCTTAAGACTCACACCCTCAGGACATAGGGAGAGCTTTTGTTCCATCTCAGAACCCAAGAGCCTTCATGGCCTGTATTACCTCCTCTGAAAGTGTTCAAATTCAGCCTGTCTCCTCACTTTCACTGCTGGGAGGTCGCTCTGGCCATAGGCATCCTGAAAGTTGTAACTTCCCCGCTCTTTGTTGGCTTCACATTTGCACTGATTTTTCGGGAACAGCCTGAAACAAGCAAGAGGATTGTAAATATGGATTGGGTGGGTAGGCTGGTGGGTGAGAGGAAACCGGAGTCCTAATCCAATGTGTAGTTTACTCTGAAAATCTTCTTTCCTACACCCAACTATTCTGAGATGATGAGACCCTGGAATCCCCTGCCCTGGCCCCTCACAGAGACAAAGGGACAAAGGGAAGGAAGTAGGGACAGAGAAAGGCTGAAGACTTTTCCTCTTGAATTATCCCCTGCACCTAACTTCTTTAAATCTGAGAGCTACATGACTGTCAGTTGTATCTCACCCCACCATGAAAGGAGGGCAGAGGGACAGAGAAGCAGCATCTTTTCTGCGGTTTTGATCAAAAACTACATGCTCTCCAAAGTTTTCAGGGATTTTACTGGGTGCTATAGAGGACATAGACTGGATCCTATAGACCAAGCCCGATCCTGGCTTGCAGTAACTTGCGCATTCAGCACAGGTTTAGAAAAGCAAGAGAACCATCTGTACAATGGGGCCAGTACTCCAGAGGAGGAGCAAGGAAGATGTGTGCACTAAGGTGAAAGAAAGAACACTCAGTCTCTCACCAGATTCCATCGTAGGAAAAGAGGTTCCTGAGATGTTCCTCAGACAGAAGCTTCAGCTTCTGGACATCCGGGGCAGGACTTGGGAGCTCTGGCTTGAGGCTACTGAACACTGCTTGAAGGAACGTGCTTCCGAACATAAAACCAGCAACGCCAAGTCCCAAGATTATGACTAATATCTTGAGGAGCCACAGAAATCTCGAGCTGTTGGGACACAAAAGAACAGATTATGTTAAAATCTTTTTTATTGATTATGTAATGTATATGAGACTGATAACTTCAGGAAAAATGTAAGCTAAGCATATAGCTTATATTGATCACTAAAATTGATTTCTGATAAACAGAGGAGGAAAGAATCAAGTTGCAACAAAGGGACTTAGAAAAATTACAAATAAAAGGATGGCAAAAAAAAAAAAAATCCAGGAAAAAAAAAAAAAGGTTAGAGGCTGGGCATGGTGGCTCACGCCTATAATCCCAGCACTTTGGGAGGCCAAGGCGGGCAGATCATGAGGCCAAGAAATCGAGACCATCCTGGCCAACATGGTGAAACCTGGTCTCTACTAAAAGTACAAAAATTAGCTGGGCATGGTAGCGCATGCCTGTAGTGCCAGTTACTTGGGAGGCTGAGACAGAAAAATGGCTTGAACCCAGGAGGCAGTGGTTGCAGTGAGCCAAGATCATGCCACAGCACCCCAACCTGGCAACAGAGCGAGACTCCTTCTTAAAAAAAAAAAAAAAAAAGGTTAGTAATGCTAATGTCAGCATAGCTAAATTCAAGGCAATAAAAAAGAGTATTAAATAGGACAAAAAGACCACTTACAGTGATCAAATGCATGATACCAAAACAGATAGCCATGAACTTTATCCACTAATAACAGCATTAAAGTATACAAAGAAAAAATGGCAGGGTATGAAAGAAGGATCAGAAATACAAAGATAGTTAGAGATGCTGACATGTCTAACTTGATCAAGTCTCAAAAATATTTTAAAGCAGCAGAACAACAAAATGATGTAATTTGTATTCTCTTAAAGAGCTCTTGAACATTTATAAAAATTGGCCACATATTAGGACGTAAAGAAAACTGTAATAAAGTAGAAATAGTTCAGATCATACATTCTGACAACGCAATTCAAATGTAACCTGACCAGGTTTAGTGGCTCATGCCTGTAATCTGAGCACTTTGGGAGACCGAGGCAGGAGGATCACTTGAAACCAGGAGTTCAACACTGGCCTGGGCAACAAAGCGAGACCCTGTCTCTACAAAAAAATTGAAAAATAGCCAAGCACAGTGGCATGTGCCTGTAGTTCTAGCTACTCAGGAGACTAAGGCAGGAGAATCCCTTGAGCCCACGAGTTCAAGGCTGTAGTGAGCTATGATTGCACTATTGCATTACTGCCTGGGCAACTGAGACCCCATCTCTAAAAAAATAATAGGCTGGGCATGGTGGCTCACGCTTGTAATCCCGGCACTTTGGGAGGCCAAGGCAGGCGGATCATTTGAGCTCAGGAGTTTGAGACCAGCAACATGGTGAATGTCTCTACTGGAAAAAAAAAAAAAAAAAAAAATAGCTGGGCATGGTGGCCCAGGCCTGTGGTCCCGGCTACTTGGGAGGCTGAGGTGGGAAGATCACTTGAGCCCAGAGGGCAGAGGTTATAGTGAGTCAAAATTGCACCACTGCACTCCAGCCTGGGTGTCAGAGGGAGATTCTGTCTCAAAAAAAATAAATAAATAAAAGCCCACTGCTATTATCTAACATCGTCATGGAAGTGCTAATCAATGCAGGTAAGATTAGCTTATGGAATAAAAAGATAAATAATGAAAAGGGAAATAAAAAGTATTATTTACAGATGAAATAACTACATATTCAGAAAACTAAAATGTATTAGATGAGAAACTATTAGTAAAATTTTAGTAGGGTATCTGGTGACAAAAATATAGTAAAAAATTAATAATAATAATTATCTAATGACCACTTAGTATGTTCTAGACCACCTGCCAAGAGCTTTGTATGCATTATCTCATTTAGTCCTCACAAGAGCATAACAAGAGAAGTTTTACTTTTTGTTTTTGTTTTGTTGTTGTTATTTGTTTTGTTTTGAGACAGAGTCCCACTTTGTCACCCAGGCTGGAGTGCGGTGGCACAATCTCAGCTCACTGCAACCTCCACCTCCCAGGTTCAAGTGATTCTCCTGCCTCAGCCTCCTGAATAGCTGGGATTACAGGTGCCCACCACCACGCCCGGCTATTTTTTGTATTTTTAGTGGAGACGGGGTTTCACCATGTTGGCCAGGCTGGTCTCAAACTCCTGACCTCAGGTGATCTGCCTGCCTCAGTCTCCCAAACTGATGGGATTACAGGCATGAGCCACCACGCCTGGCCGAGAGAAGTTTGATTACTCCACCAATTAACAGATGAGATAGCTGAAGCTAAATGGGAAAAGTAACCTGCTCTCTTGGTTATGACAGATGCAGAATTCAAAAGCAGACCACACTTTTAACCACTACCCTATAGAGGTTTCTATAAGCCAACAACTCAGAAAACATAATGAAAGCAGAAATCTGCTTCAAATTAACAACACAACACAAAATGACCCAGGCAGGCAGATACTTAAGAAGAAACATGTGGGACTTATGTGGCAGACTCTTAGGTGGCCCATACGATCTTGATCTCTTGGGCACTTAGCAAAAGATTCTTGGTTTTCAGCATTCAAGATGTGCCTATGGGTGGTACCAACTGACATTTCCTGAAATCATGCAGTCTTGAGTTATAAATCTTCTTTAAATCTATTGCCATGCTAGAATCTTGTTAATATATAGGAAATTTAGAGAGATTAAGTACCAAAATGGCCTGCCCAATACTTGTATATTTTTAGTATCATACTGAACTAAAATCCCTGGAACTAGGAGCACTCTAGACCTTACACGGTTTATTCCTCCTGTCATTTCAAACATTGAAAGTGGGGCCTATCTGATTATTTGCCTGCTCACTGTATGTTTATATCTACTGCATTTGTACCAGTATACATCAGATTTGTGCAACCACTGATTTTTATTGGATTGTAATCAGGTCTCACAGTGATCATTTAACGTCTTCCTATAAGTCTCATCTTGTGCTGTTATGGATTTTCATTTTGAAAATCTACACTGTATGGAAGCACATGTCTTTAATATCTCCAGACATTACATTTCATCAAATGCTTAAATTTTAGTGGGCAACTTAACAGGGCCCTCCCTGTTAAGTTCTGAAAAAGAATGGGAGGGAACAATTAAATATTTTTGGTAAAATGTGGTTTTTGTCTTGTGCAGAATATGTAGAATATACCTTTTAATTTATAAATATGTTTTAAAAGGAAAGAGTGCTCTGTTATCACACTGCCTTGGTCTGTTTTGTGCTGTTTTGTGCTGTTTTGTGCTGCTATAACAGAATACCTGAGACTGGGTAATTTACAGGGAACAGAAGTTCATGTTCTGGAGGTTGGGAAGTCCAAGATCCAGGGGACACATCTGGGGACCTTCTTGCTGCATCATCCCATGGTGGAAGGTGGAAAAACAAGTGAGTGCATGTGACAGACAGAGCAAGAGGGGGCTGAATTTGTCCTTTTATAAGGAATCCACTCCTACCACAAAGAGCCCGCTCCCATGATAATGGCATTAATCCATTCATGAGCACAGAGCCCTTCTGGCCTAATCACCTCTTATAAGGCTCCATTTCTTAACATTGTGTAATTGGGGATCAAGTTTCCAGCACATGAACTTTGAGGGACACATGCAAACCATATTATATAGCTAAAGCAATTTTTATTCATAAGATTTCTGAACAACTTGTAATTTTTGAAATACCTATTGGAAGTCGTTTACAGCTATTTTGCTTAAGTGTGATTTTTCCTTTTCTTGTCAATCTCTCTTTGGCAAAAAAAAAAAGAAAAAAGTGGGTTTCTTGTAATGAATTGAGCAGACATCTGATATATTGCATGCCTTTTAAGCTGTGTAACTTAGTATTTGTATACTTGATAATTTGTTTTACTGTGTAATTGATAAAATTGTGATGTGTATTGATAATAGTTTAATGTGTAAGAATGTATGCTTGTAGTTCTCTGGGAGAAACAATTTGCCAAGCATTTACCAGCTTGTGAAACTCTAATGTGAGGCTGGGCACAGTGGCTCACGCCTGTAATCTCGGCACTTTGGGAGGCCGAAGTGGGCAGATCACCTGAGGTCAGGAATTCGAGACCAACCTGGCCAACATGGCGAAACCCTGTCTCTACTACAAATACAAAAATTAGCTAGGTGTGGTGGCAGGCACCTGTAATCCCAGCTACTCAGGAGGCTGAGACATAAGAATCGCTTGAACCCAGGAGGTGAAGGTTGCAGTGGACTGAGATCACGCCACTGCACTCCAGCCTGGGCAACAAGAGCGAAACTCCATCTCAAAAATAAATAAATAAATAAATAAACAAATAAACTAATGTGAGAGCTTAAACATCTAAGTAAATAAAGGCACCTTTTAAACAATCAAATTACTGAATATACATAAAATATAAAATATGAGCCCTTAAAAACTCAAAATTTTATTGGATTGTATGCCTGAAATGACACACATCAAGCTCTTAATTGTGGTCTGCACTATTCAATGAACACGTTTCTATAGTCTCTCTTTTTTCTTTCTTTTTTTGTAACAATCAAGAATTAATTTTGTCACTGAATAAATAAAGAATTAAGCAAATTACCATTGTATTAGGGAAATACATAGATGAATAGATTGAGATGCCTTCTTTTTATTCTTGACTAGAATAGCTCAATTTTGTAGAGATGTAACTTTGCCCTATGTTAATTTATAAATTCAATATAATAACCACATGAATAAAAGCAAAACAAGATTTTCTTTCTTTTTTTTTTTTTTTTCTTGCTCTGTTGCCCTGGCTGGAGTGCAGAGGCGCCATCTCAGCTCACTGCAAGCTCCACCTCCCAGGTTCATGCCATTCTCCTGCCTCAGCCTCCCAAGTAGCTGGGACTGCAGGTGTGTGCCACCACGCCCGACTATTTTTTTTTTTTTTTTTTTTTTAATAGAGACGGAGTTTCACCATGTTAGCCAGGATGGTCTCAATTTCCTGACCTCATGATCCGCCCACCTTGGCCTCCCAAAGTGCTGGGATTACAGGCGTGAGCCACCGCACCCGGCCAGGATTTTCTTTTTTTAGAGCCAGGATCTCACTGTGTTGCCCTGGCTGGTCCCAAACTCCTGGGCTCAAGTAATCCTCCTGCCTCAGCTTTCTGAGTAGCTGGGACTATAGGCACACACCACAGAAGCCAGCAGAACAGATTTTTTATTGGTCAAAATGACTCTAAAATTTATTAGAAGTAACACATGAGAATAGCAAGGAAGATATTAAAAATAAGAAGGATGGGCCAGGTGCGGCGGCTCACGCCTGTAATCCCAGCACTTTGGGAGGCCAAGGTAGGCAGATCACAAGATCAGGAGATCAAGACCATCCTAGCTAACATGGTGAAACCCCATCTCTACTAAAAATACAAAAAATCAGGAGGGCGTGGTGGCACGCGCCTGTAGTCCCGGCTACTCGGGAGGCTGAGGCAGGAGAATCTCTTGAACCTGGGAGGCGGAGGTTGCAGTGAGCAGAAATCACTCCACTGCACTCCAGCCTGGGTGACAGAGTGAAATTCCATCTAAAAAAAAAAAAAAAAAAAAAAAACAAGGATAGCTATATTACTACTGAAGAGTAAAGTTATCGCAAGGCCACAGTTATTAAAAGCATGATACCAATTCAGGAATAAGCAAATAAGTGAATGGAACAAATCGAAGTCCAGAAATACTCTGTGTGTGTGTGTGTGTGTGTGTGTGTGTAAATTGAATTTGCACTATCTTTGTCACATATTTCTGTAACATCTTAACTTTCAAATTTTCTACAATGGTACCCAGAAAAATAAATACATTTAAACTAATCAAGTTATAGAAACTGTCTTAACCCATTTTGTGCTGCCATTACAAAATACCACAGGTATACCACAGGGTAATTTATACAGAAAAATTTATTTGGCTCATGGTCCTGAACACTAGGAGGTCCAAGGGCATGGTTACACAGTTTCAGCTAGATAGCAGAAATGCATTTCAGTATTTTGTAACATTGTAGGATGAATATAGTTACAATAACATATAGTTTCAGGCTGGGCACTGTGGCTCATGTCTGTAATCCCAGCACTTTGGGAGGCCGAGGCAGGTGGATCATTTGAAGTCAGGAGTTCAGGACTAGCTTGGACAACATGATGAGACGCTGTCTCTACTAAAAATACAAAAAAATTAGCTGGGTGTGGTGGCGTGTGCCTATAATTTCGGCTACTCTGGAGGCTGAGGCAGGGGAATTGCTTGAACCTGGGAGGTGGAGGTTGCAGTGAGCTGAGATTGCGCCACTGCACTCCACCCTAGGCGACAGAGCTAGACTCTGTCTCAAAAAATTAAAATAAAATAAATTTACAAAAATTCGTTGGGCATGGTGGTGCACGTGTGCATGCCTGTAATCCCAGCTACTCAGGAGGCTGAGGTGGGAGAATTGCTTGAGCTGGGGAGGCAAAGATTGCAGTGAGCCAAGATCGTATCACTGCACTCCAGCCTGGGCGATGGAGCGAGACTCCATCTCAAAATAATAATAATAATATAGTTTCAAATAGCTAAGAGGAAGATATTGAATGTTTGTTCCCAACACAAAGAAATGATAAATGTTTAAGAAGATGTATATGCTAATTATCCTGATCTGATCACTATGCTATATGTTTATCACTATACATATCAAAATATCACTATGTACCTCGTGAATATGTACGATTATTATTTGTCAATTAAAAAGAAACTGCAGGCCGGGCGTGGTGGCTTACGCCTGTAATCCCAGCACTTTGGGAGGCCGAGGCGGGTGCATCATGAGGTCAGGAGATCGAGACCATCCTGGCTAACAAGGTGAAACTCCGTCTCTACTAAAAAATATAAAAAATTAGCCGGGCGTGGTGGCGGGCGCCTGTAGTCCCAGCTACTCAGGAGGCTGAGGCAGGAGAATGGCGTGAACCTGGGAGGAGGAGCTTGCAGTGAGCCGAGATGGCGCCACTGCACTCCAGTCTGGGAGACACAGGGAGACTCCGTCTCAAAAAAAAAAAAAAGAAAAAAGAAACTGCAGACCTTTTGTGTGTGTTTCCACAGGTGGAGGAAAAGTCATATTTGCTAAGGATTTGCCAGCTTTAAATTTATTGGCATCATTATCAGGCCTTCCAGCTTCCTCCTTCTCAGTCACCCGTTAAGGAATGTGGAGTGGGGGAAGTTGGGGAAGGGGAACGCAGGAGTGAAAGCCTTAGCCAGGGACGTAAATGGATGCAATCTGCCTTCCTTTTCCCCATTCCACCAATCCTCTGTTCAACCTGTGCTGCTACTTTTTTTTTTTTTTTTTTTTTTTTTTTGAGACAGAGTCTCGCTCTGTCGCCCAGGCTGGCGTGCAATGGAGCAATCTGGGCTCGCTGCAACCTTTGCCTCCAGGGTTCAAGCCATTCTACTGCTTCGGCCTCCCAAGTAGCTAGAATTACAGCCACTTGCCACCACACCCGGCTAATTTTTATGTTTTTAGTAGAGACGGGTTTCACCATGTTGGCCAGGCTTGTCTTGAACTCCTGACCCCAAGTGATCCGCCCACCTCAGCCTCCCAAAGTGCTGGGATTACAGGTGTGAGCCACTGCACCCGGCCAAACGTGTTATTTTTCATGCTTACAAGATGTCATGTCACAAACATGTTTTTGTATTTTTGTGAGATGACTTCTTTGTCAATGTTTAACAATTGTTTTAGAGTTTTGGAAAATACAAACAAAATAAACTTCGGGGATAAAAGAACACAAAATGTGTGCTTGATCCTTCTTCGTAGCTTATAAAAATTAATTTAGACTTTACTATTATTATATATAATAGTAAATTATTATTAATTATTATATCACTCCCTAGAGGCTCTTTAGCACCCGGGGCCACACAACCGCCGCTCACTCTGTCCTGCGGTGGGCGCCTGGATCTGAAAACCGACTTTTCCCTGACTCTGCGCGGACTGTGAAGGAGACCAAGCCGCCGGGCTCCCCGACTGTCCAGAGCCCCACTCAATCCCCGCTCCCGGGCACCTACATACCCCTGACGGCGGTTCCTCCCGTGGGCAGAAAAGGGGCCCCAGGCTGGGTCAGCGCCTCTGAGTTCCAAGCAAACAGCCAGCCCCGAACCCCGCAGTTCCGAGCCGATTCTCACACTCAGGCGTCCCCGACACACATTCCCGACAGCAAGAGGCCACCTCCACGTGGAATTTTCCCACGGAAAACCAGCGTTCCCCGTTCCTGGGGGTGCAGAGTTCGTTTCGCAGGCGCCCTCACCTCGCGTCTGCAGCCACCTATGCGGGGAACCGGTTGGACTTAAGACTCCAACCGCCAGCTCCCTGGGCTCCGGCGTCTGTGGCCCCCGCACCTGCCGGCTCTGCAGACGCCAGAAAGGACCCGCGGCGATCCAGGCTCCCGAAGTTTCACCTCTTGCCCCGCTCTGCCCCGGGGACACTCACCTGCCCGAAGTCATCCCGAATCCCGCCGCCCTCGGCCGGCCGGATGTCGCGGAGCCTAGCAGCCAGACCTCCGACTGCCCTGCCCTGGCACCGACCTGGGCAAAGTCTCGGCGGGCAGGGCAGGTGCAGGACGCTTGGAGCTGTCCCCGCCCCCGTCACCCACTCCCCGCCCACGCTCTAGGTCTTTCTGTGCGCCCAGCCTGGCGCCGACACGTCCAGACATCGTTGTCGTGGTTTGGGGACCACCGGACCCCGCGGCGCACAGACCCGCCAGTGGCCCGCGCCCAGGAGAACTCCAGAAGGCGACAAGGATGACCACCGCCCCTGCGTGGGACACTGGCTAGGTAAACAGTGAGCTCCGCGCTAAGCGCTTTTCATCTACACGGGGTCATTTATTCATCACAACGGCCCTACGAGATGAGGACAGTTACCAGCTCACCTTTCAGAAGAGCAAGCCGAGGAAAAGTGGGGTAATCCGCTGGAAAGTGCGGACGCTAGGATTCGAACCGAGTCTGGGTGACCTGAAGCTTCCAGTCGTGCATTTTCTGTCCCTCGAACTCTGAGCTAAGTTATAAGACGCCACCGTTCGCCTCCAGACCCTCCGGACTCTACCGGTGGGTGGTCCGAGCTGAGAGTCCCCGAACTTCTGTGTGGAAAGGGGTGGGCGAGACGGGGCAGGGAGGCTCACGTGACCCGGGTCGGTAGCGTCTCCACTCGCCCACCAGGAGCAGCGAGCTGCGTCTCCTGCGCTTCCCGCCCCGCGCCTGCGTCCTCTCCCCCGGCTACCGGAGCCGGTCCTCGCAGCGATCCGGCCCCCGCCCTTCTCTCCTAACCGCCCCCATCCCAGCGCCCCCATCTCTACCCTGGACCTTTCTCCTCCGCCACTGGTGATCGCGCTTCGCTCTCCCGCTTACAGAAAAACACAATCCCCGCGTCCACCCCTAGTCCATCACCGCGGTCCCTACCTTTCCTTCCTCGCTATGCTGTGTTCCCGTGCACTCCAACCTCGTGGCCTTGATGCAGCTTATGCTGGGGGTCGCTAAATTCGGCCTTGGTCCCACCTCCACCCTCCACTTCACCCCACACTCCACAGGTACTGTCCTGGCAAAAGACCCCAGGGACTGGAAAGCTGGGGTGTGGCTGAATCCCTCTAACGGGCAAGGGACCCGTGGGGCCACATAACGCCTGTGTGCCTGGAAGAGTCTGTTGAACTTCAGAAGAAATTAGATTTGCAGGACCTTTTTCATAAGCCAGGCTCAGTGTTTCCCATGGCTCCTCTCACACATGATTATATTGTATTCTAATGGCCCAGCTGTCACAAATATGAGAATTTATTTTTTAAACTGTCGCCTAGGCTGGAGTGCAATGGTGTAATCGTAGCTCATAACCTTGACCTCCAGCACTCAAGTGATTCTCCCACCTCAGTCACCCAAGTAGCTAGGACTACAGGCACCCACCACCACACCTGGCTAATTAAAAAATAATAATAATTTGTAGACAGGAAGTCTCACTCTCTTGCCCAGGCTGGCCTTGAACTCCTGAGCTCAAGCAATCATCCTGCCTCGGCCTCCCAAAGTGCTAGGATTACAGGTGTGAGCCACCACGACCAGCAAGAATCTTTAAATATGGCGTGAAAGTGCATGCAAAATAGGGCCGGGTGCAGTGTCTCACGTGTGTAATCCCAGCACTTTGGGAAACTGAGGCAAGTGACTCACTTAAGGCCAGGAGTTGGAGACTAGCCTGGTCAACATAGTGAAACCCCATCTCTACTAAAAATACAAAAATTAGCCTGGGGTGATGGCACACACCTGTAATCCCAGCTACTTGGGAGGCTGAGGCACGAGAATCACTTGAACCCAGGTGGCAGAGGTTGCTGTGAGCCGGGATCGCGGCACCGCACTCCAGTCTGGGTAACAGAAAGTGACTCCATCTAAAAAAAAAAAAAAAAAAAGACCAGTGCTTTTCTTTTTGACGGAGTCTGGGAAAGTGAGTCTTGGAAAAGAGTAGAAGGAAATGCCAGTGTGATCTACAATTTTGATGCAGATGAGTCCCAAGTTCAGGTCTGAGCTCCTTGGCAGCCAGCAGAGAAAGGGAGTCTCTCAGAAAGGAGTTTTAATGTAGCAAATGCGGGTAACTATTTTCTAGCTTCAGGCTGGAAAAGAGATCCTCTTTGACAAGACCAATCAGAAAAGTGTTGTACTGACTACGTATGTAGGGGGAAAAAAAAAGAAGACATTTGTATAACACCTCCTTGCTTACGAAGAGCTTCCACATGCATTCCCCTCCTTCATTCAGCTCTTGTAATAACACTGTCAGGCACTTCTCAGATGTGAAGACTGAGCCTATGAGATTTTTCATGAGTCATTCAAGCTTATGTGGCCAGCAATGGGGCTAGGATTTTCACCCAGGAGTTCTGTCTCTAAAGCCAGTGCTGACTCCCTCAAACCCCCTGTATCACCAACTGTTCTGTGAAAGGGTTGTATATGCAAAGAGACCCCCAAATGCTGAAGGAGCTGAGAAACCAAAGGAGGAGGCACACAAATCCAGTTTGTTGGTATCGGGTGATTTATTAAGGGAACTTAGAAGTGTGGTCCTGGGCACCACAAGGCAGGTAGATCTCTACACTACAACCCCTCAAACCACAGCTTATATCTTGGGCAAAAAGCATATGTATCCTAAAAGGAATACATGGGTGACTACAGGCATCACAGCCTATGGTTTCTGCAACAATAAGAAGGAAACTTACAATGAGTAAGTGTTCATACATAAAGAGTAATATATCAACTAGACTTTTTTTTTTTTTTTTGAAGATGGAGTCTCACTCTGTTGCCCAAGTTGGAGTGCAGTGGCATGATCTTGGCTCACTGCAACCTCTGCCTCCCAAGTTCAAGCAATTCTCCTGCCTCTGCCTCCCAAGTGACTGGGACTACAGGCACGCACCATCACAACTGGCTAATTTTGTATTTTTAGTAGAGACGAGGGTTTCACCATGTTGGTCAGGCTGGTCTTGAACTCCTGACCTCAGGTGATCCACCCACCTCAGCCTCCCAAAGTGCTGGGATTACAGGCATGAGCCACTGTGCCTGGCCCAGCTAGACATTTTAGAGGCACTCCTGGGACTGGGGGTTAACCAGGCATATTTGCATTTAAAATAAAGTGGCTCTTGTCCCCACAACAGCTCTATTTAAGTAGGAAAACTCTTTTCCAACAGTTCTGTGGTTTGGAAGCAGGGAAGAGGATAGTTCAGGCATAACTCTTCCTTCACAATCGTGTTGTGATTGGTGACTGTGGTTCTAAGGTGAACCCTCTATAGTTGCTGATCCTCTCTCCCTGCTCTAGGGATGACTGCAGGGAGGGAGAGTGGATTAAAGGAGAATGTATTTACTGTTTTTCAGCTTGATCAGGGTTTCTCCATAGCAGAGCTAGCTGTGGTCCCTGACTACCTAAACCACAGCCAAGCAGCTGCCCTGCTGCTTCCCTGAGTGACAGAGCAGGAGCATCACCATCTTGGACAAGCACTGCCATTTTAAAGTTCACCTTGATCAAAAAAACACCTGAATCCAAAGGACATCAGCCTAATGGCTAAAGTTAGCATGACCATAAACCACAAATGACATCTCCAACCAGAAATATTCCAACCATAAGATAAATCCCTCCCCAACCAGAGATATGCCAGCCCTGAGATAACCTCTCCTCCGACCAGAGACATTCCAACCCCACAGTAAACTTTCCACACACACAGAAACATTCCAAGCTTGTGATAAGCGCTCTCACCCTAAAACCAATAAATACTCCTAGTTTGTAAGACAGGATGCTCCTGACCAAAATCAGCCAGAAGCCGCTCTCAGGTTTATTATCCAAAAGAAACCTGTCTTTGACTGTTGAACCACTTTTTGTGTTTCTTCCCTCTTTAACTCTTACATTTGGTGCTGAAAGCCAGGACAGGTGTTGGGGATAGAGGCTCTCTTGCAACCCAAAAAGCAGTGGACAGCAGCTGCTCATCCCACTGGATCCTGAAAGTCTCTGTCCCCTGCCCCATCTTGTCTCTCACTTTATTTTTTGAGCGATTTGCGTGACGAGGACAACTAACCTGAAGGAGACTGTGAGGCTCGGGCTGGGGCTACTCTCCAGTGAGCCCTCAAAACCCTCAGGTCTCAGGAATCCACCTCTGACTGCCCACAACGGGTATCAGGTATTTCGCTTTCTCCCCTATTCCTCCCTCCTCCTCCTCCTCCTCCTCCTCCTCTCTCTCTCTCTCTCTCTCTCTCTGTCTCTCTGTCTTTCTCTCCTCCCCACCCTACCTCTTGTAGCTCTAGTCCAAGAGGCCCTTTGCCAGTTCCACCTGGAACATCCAACATCAGACACTAATCCAGCTAACTGGTAAGATCTGCCTTCCCCTTTCTTTCTCGTGGTACTCGGGAAAGTCAGGTCTCCCATCCTGGTCCTCAGAGGACCAGTGGGACTAAGCTAGAAGAAATCTTGGGGACGCCCATTTTCTTCTCAACTTGACCATCCTCTTTATAAAGAGGATTCCAGGTCTCTGTCTTTTGACTGGGAATGCCTAGAACTAAACCAGACACCCTCAGCTTCCTCTTACCAGTCCACATGGGTGCCAAACAATCCCATATTCCCACATCCTCTCCACTGGGCTGTCTCCTTCACAAACTCATCAAACTTGGCTAACAGGAAATATAAAGCCAAAGTGTTTGGATTTTTATTGCAACACGGCCTGGCCCCAGTAAAAATTAAATAATGGCAAATTAAATTTTCAAGACGAAGGCCCAAAAATGGCACCTTTGACTTTCAAATTCTCAGGGACCTTGACAACTCTATAACCAGGAATGGCAAATGCCAAGAGGTTCTCTATATTCAGGCTTTCTTCTACCTTAGATCCCGACCCTCCCTGTGTCAAGCTTACACCCTTCATGAAATCCTTCTTCTTAATGAAAACCTTCCCCAGGTCTCTCCTTCCTCTGAAACACCTTCCTTCAAAACCCCTTCCTCTGAAATCCCTTTTGACCCTGCATATTAACCCCCTCTGCCTTCTCATCCCCCTGCATCTGCTCCTCACCCGTCTGAACCCTCTGACCCCTCCTGCCCCTAAGCCTTCAGCCCCAAACCCCGCTTCCCCTCCTTCTCCACCTGTTACCCGTTCAAAA